AGGCAGGATAAAATGGAGTAAATACGAGTAAACGAATCAATACATTTTAGACAGCAATGCTATTTTAGTACATTTTCTCAAGGTGCCAGTGACAGTTTATTCTTCCTTTCCCCACTTTGTTTTATTCAACTCTCTCAGGGTGGCTTCTCACTGTAGAAGCACAAACACAGGAGAAGCCAATTACAGAAATTGAAATCATTGAACGTAAAGTGGAATCTGATGGGACCACATCATCCGTAAAGATCTTTGACAATATCGTCAGTGCTACCTCTGCCACTGCCTCTTCCACCACCACCAAGTCATTTCTTGAGCAACTGGCTGTGCTTTTTTCAACAATGGCTACAGAGATCCAGCCTTCTCTTCTCACTGTTCCTCCTGCTTCAGCCACCATGGCAGAGATACTTTCTATGAAGAAAATCACTACAAAACAATCCTTCTTCAAAATCCTTATAGCATCTGCTGCTCAGCCTTTCACATCCACCATGACAACAACCATCCCACAGTCATCTACTAAGAGCAATTCTGTTGCACTTACTTCTGTAGTGATTACTGAAGTTCATACCAGCAGTGAGCCATCGGCTGAGCTTCATTCTGCCATGGTGACATCTCCTGTGGTTAGTGCAGAACTTCATACCACCACTGCTTCTGTAGCCAGCTCCGCAGAATCTGTTTTGAAGATCCCTGATATGGCTTCAGCCCCTATGACCACTCTAGATCTTCCTGTACCCACAGAATCTGTTTTGAAGATCCCCGATATGGCTTCAGCCCCTATGACCACTCTAGATCTTCCTGTACCCACTGAGGCTGAACCTAAAATATCAGCTTCACCACAACATCTCACTGCCTCTGAGGAACAGTCAGTTGAGGACACTTCTCCTGAACTTACGGCCACAGTGGCTGAAGTTATTGTTGCTGAGTCTTCCATCCCCATGACTTCCGCCAAATGTAAAACAGACATTCCCTTCATCTTGGAGGGAAAGCTTGGAGGTCCTCTAAGGTTCATTGCTCTGGAGCAGCTCATGGAAAATATGGGAAATTTAGTAGCTAATTCGGAAATAGCATATAAAAAGAAGTTGCAAATCATATTTTCTGAAATAGAGAGGGCATTGAAACTTGCCAGTCTACAGAAAAGTTCAAAGTGCTCACTGAGGGTGAAGAGTAGGCTTCAAAAACTATGGTCTCTCTTTTAGATAAAAAGAGTCAATTTGGCATTTGGGAGATGAAAACTGGAAATCAATATTATTTTCTTCCTGCTCTGTTGCTTTTCTTTCCTCTTTTTGCTTTGGCTGTTTCTGTCTCCTTTTTCAGCTTCATGAATATTTTCCCCTCCTTTTAATATATTAGAAAGTCTGAAATAAATATATTTCAAAAAGACCTTTCTGGAATTGTTTTTCATAGATTCCTAAGGGTGCATTCACACTGTAGAATTAAAGCAGTTTTGTGGCACTTTAGGTGCAATGGCTCAATGGTCTGGAATCCTTGGAACTAGTTTTACAAGGTCTTGAGCCTTCTCTGCCAAAGAGTGCTGGTACCTTGCCAAACTGGGAATTTTTGGATTAATGGGGTCAATGAGGTTACTAGCCACCCCAAAGGCACCAGAGTGACCTGTGAGGGGATGAAAATACCTCCATCCTATGCAATTCTTCTCTTCTACTTCATGCCAAGAATAAGGCTAATGTTGTTTAGTCAGGAATAATGGGAATAACTAACAGGAATGAGACTTCATTTTTAACTCTCAACCACTGCATTGGGAGCACAATAGGCAGAAATAGTCAGGAATAGTTACATTGACAGAGAAAGAGATGGTGGAAAGAATAAATAATAATACTTTATTTTTATCCTGCCCTATATCTCCAAGGGGACTCAAGGTGGTGCACTACAGGAAAAAATGGCAAACATTCAATGCCAACGAGATGTGACAAAACAGATGAAATCATAAACAATAAATTGACAACATCAAAATATAATTATAAAATCTCCCAAATTAAACAAGATCAAAAAATTTAATATACAAATATAATATTTAAGACATGTTTCACTAATATAAAATTAAAAGTATAAGACAATTTGTGGCTGGTCCATGAGGTCACGAAGAGTCGGAAATGACTGAACGAATGAACAACAACAATCTCAGGCAAATTAGAATTTTGGCTTTTTCACACTAAGAAGACTGAGTAACTCATGGACCCTGAGAGAAGGAAACTACAGTATATCCTTCCATCAGTTTTGAGCATATTTAGGTAAATCCCCAGGTATTTTTTTTCTATCTCTCTAAATGAGAAATACCAGAGGTTCCTCTTTCCAATAGATACAATGGGCTGGACTAGATGCCCCTTTTCATTCTACAGTCCAAATCTACTTCAACTACAGCATTAGTCTTATAGAGGACCTTGGGTGTTGTAACAATCTGCTACACTGCCAAAAAATAAAATATGCAAACTTTGTGCCCCAAAAATCTCCCTTAGAAGCAAGTGAGGATCACCATGTTTTCAGGTATCATCGGGCTGCTTTGAGTCTCCTCTTTTGAGAAAAGGTGGAGTATAAACAAACATCATCATCATCATAACAACAACAATTGTTATTATTTAAAGGTAAGGAAACAAGTATGTTACTTCTTCTTCTATTCCTGTTTGCAACATTGTAATTTCGTTCCAAAATTGGCCAGTATAAACCCAAAACATGATGTTCGTGCCTCTGAAGTCCAGAAGCTCATAGTCAGTTAAAAGAGCAGAAACAGTCACCTAGTGAAAAGCTAAAGAAGAAAGCAGTAAATGCAATTGAACTGCAGTGCCAGTTAGATAAAATAGAGCAACAGCACTACAAGCAATCTGGCCTACAGCAGAGATACCAGAAACCCAAGATGACTTGCAGCAAGTTCAAGAGCAAAAGGCATTTCTAAAACCTTTTCAGGACTGTGTTATCTCATCAAGAGCCAAGCAGTCAGTTGAATAAAAGTAAAGAGAAGGTCAATCCGATTTGAAGGTGAAGGCAAAGACTGATTCACTTGCCTTGGTGAAAGTTGCAGAGACTGTTCAAAGAAGAGATCACCAGAAGCACCTGGATGAAGATGGAGTGAAGATAGCGACGATCCCAGAGCTGAGACAAGTGTTTACATCAGTCCAAGGAAGCCGAGACATGTGTCGCAACATCGTAATGGACAGGTTTGCCTTTTAGGTTCCAGAATTACAAGTACACTTCAACCAGAGAGGATATAGTCCTCATGAAGGAGACTCATGAGGTAAGAATGAAGATGTCAAAGACATTGAGATCCAGAATCATTGAGAGACCAATTATGGACTTGGTTGTTTCACAGGATGACTCCATAGATTAGTATAGTTGTAGTATTAGATAGTTATTAATTTATTATTAATAAGGGAGTAAAACTTATTGATAAGTTTTAGTGTCCCGCCTCCAGAGACAAAAGAACATTACATTTTTATTTATATAGAAGATATATACACACACAGATACACACACATACACACAAGACTTCCTAATACATAAAAAAGAACACACACACACACACACATATATTTGACGAAGGCTTTCATGGCTGGAATCACTCAGTTCTTGTGGGTTTTTTTCGGGCTATAGGGCCATGTTCTAGAGGCATTTCTCCTGATGTTTTGCCTGCATCTATGGCAAGCATCCTCACTGGGTTGTTGACCTCACTACCTCTGAGGATGCTTGCCATAGATGCAGGCGAAACGTCAGGAGAAATGCCTCTAGAACATGGCCCCATAGCCCGAAAAAACCTACAAGAACCTATATTTATTTTGTCGTGTCAGGGCAACCAGTCAATTATATTACATTTCTAACAGAACAAAGCAAACAAACAGACAAAATACAAAATTTGTGAGTTTGGTAGTTGATTAAATGTCCTTTGACCAGTATCTGGCCACTTGGAGTGCTTCTGGTGTTGCTGCAAGAAGGTCCTCCATTGTGCATGTGGCTGGGCTCAGGTTGCATTGCAGCAGGTGGTCAGTGGTTTGCTCCTCTCCGCACTCACTTGTCGAGGATTCCACTTTGTGGCCCCATTTCTGAAGGTTGGCTCTGCATCTCGTGGTGCCAGAGCGCAGTCTGTTCAGCGCCTTCCAAGTCACCCAGTCTTCTGTGTGCCCAGGGGGGAGTCTCTCATTTGGTATCAGCCATTGATTGAGGTTCTGGGTTTGAGCCTGCCACTTTTGGACTCTCGCTTGCTGAGGTGTTCCAGCGAGTGTCTCTGTAGATCTTAGAAAACTATTTCTAGATTTAAGTCGTTGATGTGCTGGCTGATACCCAAACAGGGGATGAGCTGGAGATGTCTCTGCCTTGGTCCTTTCACTATTGGCTGCTACTTCCCGGCGGATGTCAGGTGGTGCAATACCGGCTAAGCAGTGTAATTTCTCCAGTGGTGTGGGGCGCAGACACCCTGTGATAATGCGGCATGTCTCATTAAGAGCCACATCCACTGTTTTAGCGTGGTGAGATGTGTTCCACACTGGGCATGCATACTCAGCAGCAGAGCAGCACAGCACAAGGGCAGATGTCTTCACTGTGTCTGGTTGTGATCCCCAGGTTGTGCCAGTCAGCTTTCCTATGATATTGTTTCTAGCACCCACACACATACAGACGAAGACGAAAAAAGAGAGGAAAGAGCCAAAGGAAAAACAGAACAGCAGAAAAAATTACATTTGTATCCCTTCACCCTTCCTTCTCATAGGCGAGGGGAGGAGGGAAGAGCAGAGTTGATTTTCCTGACTCCTCCCCTTTCTTCCTATTGGCTGCGGCAGGAGGCATTCTAGCCAATGGCATTTAGGAGCGCGTGGACTGAGGAACGCGCTAAAACCACTTATTCCTTCGTGTGGACTTCAACTCCCAGAAGCCTTACCAGCTTGGGTGAATAGTGAGGGCTTCTGGGAGATGAAGTCCACAATTACATGAAAGCCCGGCGTTTGGGGAACTCCAAACACACTGCGCAGCGGGAAGAAGAGCTTTCCGATCGCGAGAGGGAAGCCTCTGACGTCAGCGGGGAGGGAGGGGCCTCTCGAAGCGAGCTTTCCCTTTGGCGGCGGGTTCGAAGCGTCGCCTTTGGATGGATCCGTGTGAGCATAAGAGTGACGGTGGCCGGCGAAGGACAAGATTAGGCACGATACGTGTTTTTGAAATGCGCCTTGTGGAGATCCTGTGAGAGAAGGATCAACACGTTTGGGTACATTTGGTTTTCTCACAGTTCCTTAGAATAGCAAAGGATTTCCCGCATGAGACCTCATAACAAGGCCTTCTTATCATTAGTGGATATCTAGTGGGTTTGGCTACATTCTAAAGCAGGCATGGGCCAATTTGAGCCCTCCAGGTGTTTTGGACTCCAACTCCCATCATTCCTAACAGCCTCAGGCCCTTTCCTTTTCCCCCTCAGCCGCTTAAAGCTGAAAGGGAAAAGGAAAGGGCCTGAGGCTGTTAGGAATGATGGGAGTTGGAGTCCAAAACACCTGGAGGGCCCAAATTGGCCCATGCTTGTTGCATATTGTATATTTACATCCATTTTAAATTCTACCTTCAGCAGGATCCACGTTTATAGTGTATTATAATAATATATATTTCTAATAATTATTTTGTGCCTTTTGGATTTATTTTTTTATTTCAGGGGATGGCTGGGGAAAGCCAAGAAAAGCCCAGGATGAACTTTCCTTTCCCATATGCACCATACCCTATTCAAGAAGAATTCATGGCAAAACTATATCAGGTTTTGGAAAGGGGAAAGATTGGCATCTTTGAGAGCCCGACTGGCACAGTAAGCCTTTTATTTATTAAGTAACAACTTGTTAACTTGGTTTTCTGATCTCAAAACATCAAAGTAGTCGCATAAGCTATGTAACATAGAATCATAGAAAGAATCAAAGAGTTGGAAGAGACTTCATGGGCCATCCAGTCCAACCCCCTGCCAAGAAGCAGGAATATTGCATTCAAATCACCCCTGACAGATGGCCATCCAGCCTCTGCTTAAAAGCTTCAAAAGAAGGAGCCTCCACCACACTCTGGGGCAGAGAGTTCCACTGCTGAACGGCTCTCACAGTCAGGAAGTTCTTCCTCATGTTCAGATGGAATCTCCTCTCTTGTAGTTTGAAGCCATTGTTCCGCGCCCTAGTCTCCAAGGAAGCAGAAAACAAGCTTGGTCCCTCCACCCTGTGGCTTCCTCTCACATATTTATACATGGCTATCATATCTCTTCTCAGCCTTCTCTTCTTCAGGCTAAACATGCCCAGTTCCCTAAGCCGCTCCTCGTAGGGTTTGTTCTCCAGACCCTTGATCATTTTAGTTCAACTAAAGTATATGTAAGTATATGTTGAAGGGAGGGATATAAATATGGTAATATAATCAAGGTGGTTAGATGAAACATTCACACCTAGCTGCAGTAGACAAGACTTCTTTGTCTCACCCTGGTCATTCCACAGATATATAAACCCATTTTCCTACTTCCAACAGACCTCATTACCTCTGAGGATGTTTGCCATAGATCAGTGGTTCTCAACCCTCCTAATGCCGCGACCCCTTAATTCAGTTCCTCATGTTGTGGTGACCCCCAACTATAACCCTAGCATTATGAATCACCATGTAAATAATGATCTGCAGGATGTATTTTCATTCACTGGAGCAAATTTGGCACAAATACCCGGTATGTCCAAATTTGAATACTGGTAGGGTTGGTGTGGGGATTGATTTTGTCATTTGGGAGTTGTAGTTGCTGGGATTTACAGTTAACCTGCAAACAAAGAGCATTCTAAACCCCACCAACAATGTAATTGAACCAAACTTCCCACACAGAACACCCATGACCAAAATACTTACGGCCATCCAATCCAACTCCCTTCATCAGAGCAAGAAAACATAATCAAAGTCCTCCTGACAAAGAACAATCCAGCCATAGATAGATATAGATAGATAGATAGATAGATAGATATGATTCACACACACAGAGATATAATATCATAGATTTGAAAGGGACCCTTAAAGAAGGACAGTTATATGTTTCATGTTCCAGGGTAGGCAAACCAGACACTCTCCACATCAACACCGACAAAGAAACAGCAAGAAATACTGTTTACCCACAAGCATAAAGAAATTACATATATTAGAAACCAACACTTTCTCATTACTTTATTTTCCAGATCAACAGACTGGGCCACAGCAACGCGTGGCAGGGGACAGCTAGTACATATAATATTTCTAATATTATAATGTAGTACAATATAATACTACTACTAATAATATATTATAATTATATATTTTTATTACATGTAATATTCCTAATAATATTACAATATAATAGTATAGTACAATATAGTAATATATCAGGGGTCCTCAAACTAAGGCCCAAGGGCCGGATGCAGGCCTCTAAGGTCATTTATCCGGCCCTTGCTCAGGGTCAACCTAAGTCTGAAACGACTTGAATTCATACAACAACAATCCTATCTCATCAGCCAAGAGGAGGCCCATACTTCTGATTGAAATACTATTAAGTTTATATTTGTTAAAATCGTTCTTCATTTCAATTATTGCATTGTTTTTAATTGTTATTTGCACTACAAGTAAGATATGTGCTGTGTGCATAGGAATTCATTCTTTTTTTTTTCCAAATTATAATCTGGCCCTCCAACAGTTTGAGGGACTGTGACCTGGCCCTCTGTTTAAAAGTTTGAGGACTCCTGATAGTATATAATACTGATATTATGCTGTGCTAATAATATAATATATTGTATATATATATATATGCACATATATATCTTGTAAACCTCTCTGAGTCCCCTTCGGGGTGAGAAGGGTGGCATATAAATGTCATAAATAAATAAATAAGCAAGCTAGAGGCAGATGGGTTTCCCACTTGCAGGATCTACTTTGTTAGTTTATTCAGAACTGGGAAACTGAGGTCTAGATAGCTTTTGGTCTATAGCAGGCATGCAGGGGCGGTTCAACCCATTACGCAAAGTAAGCATTTGCAGTATAGTTGATTTTGCCCAGGGGCGCTCTTGAGGCGCTCTTGGGGGGAAAATAGACCTTGACATATGCAAGTTGTAGTTACTGGGATGTATAGTTCACCTACAATCAAAGAGCATTCTGAACTCCACCAATGATGGAATTGAACCAAATATGGCACAAAGAACTCCCACGATGAGCAGAATATATATATCAGTGATTGGTTGGGGGGGGGGGGGGGGCAAAATACTGTTTTTCATACCATTGAAAATTACCTAGGGCCGCCTCTGCAGGCATGAGCAAACTTCGGCCTCCAGGTGCTTTGGACTTCAACTTCCACAGTTCCTAACAGGCTGTTAGTTCTGGAGTCTGCTGCAAATCAAAAGCACTCCCTTCCCCATATACAGGCAGTCCCTGAGTTACAAGCATCTGACAAACAACTCAAATAAATTAACCCTTCCCTTCCCTATGCTATCTGAAGCTTACACACACACAACATTTTTGGCTGAGGTTACACTTTGAAAATTTACCTGTTCTGATTTACATAAAAATTCAGCTTAAGAACAAACCTACAGAATCTATCATGTTTGTATCTTGGGAACTACTTCTAGTAGTAGTAGTAGTAGTAGTAGTAGTAATATTTCCCGCGGTTTGAGGCAAGGTACAACATAATTAAAACAAGAGAGAAAACATTATTAATACATATACAACACAATACACAGAGTTAAAACACAACTTAAAATCCACTGATGAAATGCAAATTAAAATGTTAGATTAGAATATCAGATTTCTAAAGGAATTTATCTTGAATAGGAGAAGTAAATGAAATGCACAATCTTTCCATACCTAAATCCGATCCTGGTCACTTCCGGCATCTCGAAGGCTTAATGTAGATGAAATTGTGGAGAGCCATTTAAGGTTTTCAAATTTTACTATACATGCTACATAATGTATCAGTAGATGCAGCTAACACATCACAAAGACAGAAAGTAGACCTGTATTTTAGAAAGGGTAGAAATACCTCGTACTATAAGGAGAACAATTTTAGATTCAATTGGCAGTAGTGGAAGAAAGAAGAAAAGAGTGGTGTTGTTTTCTTGTCTAGTATGTATTGGATGTGGTGACTGTTACTTTCTCTGGAGTATCAGTTGGTCAGCATATGGTGTATTACGAATTTTGGCGATGGTATGATTTTGCCTTTATCCTGTTATGACTATGTATTGTGATTTAGCAGCATGTGTTTCATCTTTATTTCAGGGGAAATCTTTGAGTCTTATTTGTGGAGCCCTTACTTGGCTCCGAGACTTTGAAGAGAAAAAGAAACAGGAAGAGGCCCAGCTCTTGGCAGGTGAAATTAATGGGAAGGATACAAACAAACAGCTTGAGAAAGGCAGCACAGAGTCTGCAACCAGCCAGCTGTCAACTGGAGAGCCAGACTGGATAACTCAATTCGTGCAAAAGAAGGAAGAGCGGGAAACAACACAGAGACTGAAGGTAAAACATATATTACTTGTGGGGCAGGGCAAAACCAACAGAAATGGTGAACTGTAAGATGTAAATGGAATGAAGTTCTCTTCTAAGTGTTACCCTTGTAACTTCAATTACTTTCTTTGAATCACATCCATACAGTGCTATCCACTTTTGGCATGTGCTCTCTCTTAACAGCAGAGGTGTAAAATAGTCTCCTTACCCACCCCATTTCTCCCAGAAGGTTTGTTAGAATTTCGATGGCAATAAGGATACGAAAAATTATCATTGGGTTCTTGTGAGTTTTCCGGGCTGTGTGGCCATGTTCCAGAAGCATTGTGTCTTGACATTTCTCACACATCTATGGCAGGCATCCTCAGTAAAATAATGGAAATAATAACAATAATAACTAGAGTGAAATAATAAATGTAATAATAATAACAATAATAAAGTAAAATAATCAATGTAATAACAACAACAATAATGCATTTATTATGTATTTCTAACAGGGTAAAATAATAAATAACCTTGACTCGAGTATAAGCCGAGGGGGGACTTTTTCATCCTTAAAAAAGAGCTGAAAACTAGGCTTATTCTTGAGTATATATAGTAATTTAAAGTGGGATGCACACTCTTTATCTACTCTTTAAGCTTTATGGTGATAAGGTCCTAACACTTGTTTTTAGTCTGCATAGTTGCTGCATCTTTACAACACTAAATGTCTAAGTATTGTTTTATCTTATGTTTAATTGTCTTACTGATTTTAATGCATAGTTATATGTTTTGTTTAGATGTATGGTTTTGTTTTATATGTATGTGAGGCATTGTATTTTGCCATTATTTGTTGTAAACTGTTTTGAGCCCCCCTGGTGTAAGAAAAGTGGTAAATAAATAATAAATAGGTTTAAAAACATAAGCATAAGAATTATAGAGGTTATGGAAACCATAGACTGATTTTGGTCTTCTCTTTGAGAACCTTCATGTGGTTGCATTTTACTATTATTTTTAGGAAGAACAAATTAGGAAGAAAAAACGAGAAGAACGTCTGGAGCAAATTCGTCACAATGTGCACCTGAAATACGCCTCTAAAAGAAAGGTGAGTTCTCTAGCTTGGAATATGAGAAGAGGAAGATAAACCATTCCAGTGTACTTGCATCTGCATGGAACCATATGTGTGTTAGTAATAAGACAGAACTCATTCTGAGAGTGTCAGTCGTTATATTACCATCAGCTCACAAGAAGTGGATATTTGTAGGTATGAGAAAACTCCAAAGCTTGGAGAAGTAAGTACATACACACAAAACTAGAGAGAAACAACATGGAGAGAAGTAACTCTTTCCTCCAGTCCCCTATGGGTTTGCTGGCTGACCTGGGAATGTATATGGGAAATGAGGGAATGGCAAACCCTGTCTTTTCCTGCTTCTTGGCAGGGGGTTGGACTGGATGCACACAAGGCCTCTTCCAACTCTATGATTCGATGAGTGGCAATCCTGATGTATTTTTTCCCAGAGAAATGAGGAGGAGGAAGAAATGAAGCAGTTGCTCCAGCTCAGTCAGGACATCTTGTCCAGCCCAAGTGAGTCAGGTGCTTTGGAGCCATTGGATCAGGGTGAGGAAGAACTGATCCTTGCAGAGTATGAGAGCGATGATGAGAAGAAAGTGGGAAACAGGTAAGAATGGCTCAAAAATGTTCAAGCAAGGATTTAAGCTGCTGGGGAGAACTTCGGTCTTCATCACTGGAGGTTTCCTTGAAAATGGAGATGAGCACCAACCCCCAGAGTCAGACATGACTAGACTTAATGTCATGGGGAAACCCTTGCTTTTACCTTAGAGCAAGACACTAGGATGGAGCCAGGTTTATGAACTCTTCTGCTTATCATATGGACAGAACCCATTTTGACATCGTCGGTGTGTTTGCATTATTATTATATAATGCCCTTTTGATGTTAATTTTGTGCATGACAAATATTCTGGGGCTATTGAAAATAGAACCACCTTTCTATTTTCACTCCTTAGGTTAAGTGAAGCTGAAGAAGATGATGATATAGAAGAGGAGCATGTGACAAAGGTAAGGAAAATAGTGCCTGCTGCTCGCTCCAGCAAATGTTATAGATGTGCTTTGAAATAGGAAATTTGTTGCTTCTTCTCTCAGCCATTAAATATTTCATCTTATTTGTTGTACCTGTCCGATTTTATTATAAAAGATGATCAGTAGGGCCTTTTTAAAAAACAAAACAAAAGCAATTACAATCTGTTGCAAATTGAAGCCATTCCCTCACTCCAGAGTCAGCCTAATTTGCTGAATTCCAGCCCAAGAAGGAAATGCTTCTTTAATTTTTCAAAGACTACACACACTGTTCTTTAGTGAATTCCCAGGAGTCAACCATTCCCTGTTTGGTGCTCTTCGGATGTGCTTGGTTGCTACTACTGTCTGGCCATTCTTGCAGAAGATGACGGGAAACTAGAGAGAACAACATGCTCTCTCTCCCCACCCCCCCTCCCCGGTTCCTCTCTCCTCGTAGGTTTATAGGACGTGTTGTGTCCTACAAATAGTTTTCAGTTTTATTGCAGAAGCAAGGTGAAAAGAAGTGCAAATCTTACAAAATGCCATCCAGAACGAACCATACGAGTGGGCTTCTGATCCCAACCTCCCTTTCCATCCCTCAGATTTACTATTGCAGTCGAACACATTCTCAGCTGGCCCAGTTTGTGCATGAAGTTCAGAAGAGCCCATTTGGCAAGGAGATACGGCTGGTGTCCTTGGGGTCTCGACAGGTAAAAACCACAAGTTTTGGGGCTGAAATTTCACAGGATTGGGAAATGGTGAATGATTGTCTGCACTGTACCTTTTGCATGCAGGACTACTGTGCTGCCACTGAGCCATAAAGGATGTATGTCGTGCTTGTGACATCTGTAATGCTGAATATTGTTCTTGAATTCGCTTTGATAAATAAGCTTTAGGCTTCTTTAGAGCAGACTTCCTCTAACTTATTACTTTGGAGGAATGCTTGAAAACACACCATATGTGTGTTTTAAGTCTCAGGAAAGGATTGGTTCATTTCAGTAATTTTCCCAGGATGTTTTACCAATTATTAAAACAGTGCACTCAATCTGATACTTGTTTTTCTATCCTTTGCTTTTCTTTATCTGCTTATTCCAGAACCTGTGTGTGAATGAAGAGGTGCGGAGCATGGGAGCTGTCCAGCTCATCAATGATCGTTGTATGGAGATGCAAAAGAATAAACACGGTAAGGCATTGTTTCCTCTTGGGTTGCTGGGGTTAGTGATTTGAGTGATATAAGCAAAAAGTGGTGGATTTTATCTTTCAAACAAGTAGAAACGTCAGTAAACTGTTGGAAGTGTGAACTACTCCATGTCGTCATCTAGGATACTCCATTCCATTTCACTCCCAGAAGTGCCCTGTAAACTAAGCTAGACCAAGTGTCAAGATCAGCAAACTTCATGGCTTAGTTTGCTGTGAATTTTCCGGCCTGTAGGGCCACGTTCCAGAAGCAGTCTCTCCTGATGTTTCACCCACATCTATGGCAGGCATCCTCAGAGGTTGTGAGGTCTGTTGGAAACTAGGCAAGTGAGTTTTATATATCTGTGGAATGTCCAGGGTGGAAGAAGGACTCTTGTCTTCTTGAGGCAAGTGTGAATGTTACAATTGACCACCTTGATTAGCATTTAACATTTCATGGCCTTGTAACTTTAAAGCTTGATGGATTGCTGCCTGGGGGAATTCTTTGTTGGGCGGTCTTAACTGGCCTTGATTGATTCTTGTCAGGAATTCCTCTGTTTTTTGAGTGTTGCTCTTTATTTACTGTCCCGATTTTAGTGTTTTTTAAATACTGGTAGTCAGATTTTTTCATCTTCATGGTTTCCACCTTCCTTTCTGTTGAAATTGTCCACATGCTTGTGGATTTCAGTGGCTTCCTTGTGTAGTCTGACATGTTGGTTGTTAGAGGGGTCCAGTATTTCTGTGTTAATATGCTGTGTCCAGGTGGGTTCATCAGGTGCTGACTTCTCAGATCGAAGTAGTCTGCAGTGCCTTTCATGTTTCTGGATTCGTGTTTGGATGCTATGTTTTATGGCTTCATTTTCCTGATTTATTTATGCCCTTGAGTTTCAAAAAAAGTCTAACCTAGAAACAGAATTTTAAGACTAGTTCCTTCCATATGAATTTGGCAGGCTTTTAAGATGATTGGCATCACCTTCAGGCTCTCCTGCTATTGAAAGTAACGCAGATGAGTGTCCCATATTTTGAGATTACACAGGACATCAAATTCCTTGCAAAAAAAGAAAAAGAAATAAGGTTGCTTTGTCATAATACTACTTGCTTTTGGGGTCCTTCTTTCTAAGATATTTCCTGTTGTTTCTTGCTTTCTATTTTTTTTATTTAGAGTGTTGAATTTTGTATTATTCCCTGCCCTGAATATTTTTTTTAGAAAGACCAGATAGAAATGCAGAAATAGATCAATGTTCTTTGTTTATTTACTTCCTGTTACTTCTTTCATTCCCTACATTTGTATGAGCTTAGGTTGGAGATAGATTTGTTTGCTATTATGTTACTTTGTCCTAGAATTGCACCATACAGTGTCAATTGTTTGTGACTGTTGGACATACTGGCTGGAGGTGATGTGAGTTATAGTCCAAAATGACAGGAGTTGCTGGATTGAAGACAGCTGAAGTCTAGGGAGTGCAAGCATGCACAGATCTCACAGTACATAGCTAATAACACAGTGTTCCCTTTGGCTCACAGTTCTTCTTTCATGTTGTCCTCAGAAAAGAAGAGTACAGGAGAAGAAACTGAAAAGAAGAAAACGAGAGTAAGCCGGACAGTGTGTCCATTTTACTCCTATGAGCACATGCAGTTTCTTCGGGATGAAGTTTTGGTCCAGGTCAAAGATATAGAGCAGCTGGTGACTCTGGGGAAGGAACTGAAGGCCTGCCCTTACTATGGAAGCCGATACGCCATCCCAGCTGCTCAGGTGGGTATTATAATCTTGAAGGGCTTTACCTCAAAACAGCCCCAGACTTACATTCTTGCCATGCAACCTTGAATTCTTACTTTTAACATGACATATGAAAATCATGCTACTTTTTGCATGCCTCCTAATTACTAATGCTTAGGTGGAACTTCTTACCTTGTAAATTGAATTCTTTGATTCATTATCCAGTTTTCAGTAGCAGAAAACCGTCTTGCTCCATCTTCTATGTGACATTCCCTCAGATATTTAAATTTAGCTATCATCCCTTATTTCCTTTGGTCTTGGTCTAGTGAAAGACTGACAAACATCTCTTGTAAAAGTATGTGTCTTTCTTGCAGCTGGTGATATTGCCATATCAAATGCTTCTGCATGACGCTACTAGAAGTGCATCTGGCATCAAGCTAAAGGATCAGGTTGTGATCATTGATGAAGCCCACAATCTGATTGATACCATCACCTCCATCTACAGTGCCCAAGTTAGTGGGTCTCAGGTAAATAGTGCTAGGACACTCTGCTTTCTTTGTATTTATTTATTCAATGTGTAACCCATCCTCTCAGCAAGAGACCCAAGGTAGATAACAAAATATAAAGTGGAAGTTGGCTCATTTTTTTACAATGTCTAAAAAATCATATAAGTATGTATATTTTATTTTTTTATTCTATATCTTTTCCCAATCTTCTATCCTTATTATGTTTCCAATATTTGCGGCCCATTTTCATAGAATCATAGAGTTGGAAGAGACCTCGTGGGCCATCCACTCCACCACCTGCCAAGAAGCAGGAAAATCACATTCAAAGTATGCCCGACAGATGGCCATCCAGGCTCTGTTTAAAAGCCTCCAAAAAGGAGACTCACCACACTCCAGGCAGAGAGTTCCACTGCTGAATAGCTCTTACAGTCAAGAAGTTCTTCCTAATGTTCAGGTGGAATCTCCTTTTCCGTAGTTTGAGCCATTGTTCCGCATCCTAGTCTCCAGAGCAGCAGAAAACAAGCTTGCTCCCTCCTCCCTATATGACTTCCCCTCACATATTAATACATGGGCCCTTATCATGTCTTCTCTCAGCCTTCTCTCCTGCAGGCTTAACATGCTCAGCTCTTTAAGCCACTCCTCACAGGGCTTGTTCTCCAGACCCTTGAACATTTTAGTTGCCCTCCTCTGGACACATTCCAGCTTGTCAACATCTCTTTTTACCATACAGTCCTAAATTATTTGTTCTTCTGTTGCCCATTCCAGTAATTTCCCATACAGCTTCAGTATTAATTTCTTCTCTGCACTCATTATTTTGTCCCAGAAGGTTTTTATATCTATAAATCCCAATTTTTGTCTATGTTATAACATTCTCTTATTTGTCTGTACTGGAGCCAGGATATATTTTAGTCTAATTCTTTGATTTCGTCCCTGTTTTAAGAACAACATCTCCATTTTCTTTCTTTAATAATTGTCTATATGTAAGGCATTTATTTTGCCCAAGTTCTCTTTTACGTAGAGCTGCTAATGGGGAAATCCATTGGGGTGTTTTTGTGTATAGTCTATTTTTATATTTTTCCCAAATTTTTATCAAAGCAAATCTAATAAAGTGATTTCCAAAATTATCTTATTTCTTCAATAAAAATTAATTTAAAATATAAAGTAGATGTTGGTTAACATGGAGTGTGGTGGAGGCTCCTTCTTTGGAAGCTTTTAAACAGAAGCTGGATGGCCATCTGTCAGGGGTGCTTTGAATGCAATATCCCTGCTTCTTGGCAGGGGGTTGGACTGGATGGTCCATGAGGTCTCTTCCAACTCTATGATTCTATGTTAGACACAAAAGGTAAAAAACAATGAAATTACATTGCTAGGAGCAAATAGTTAAAATTATTTAATAAACATTTAAAGCATACTTTAAAAGCATACATGATAAAAATACACCATACCACTCTCAATGCTATTCTACCATTTGATTAAAAATAAACAAACAAAATCCTGCCCAAATAAAAGGTCTTTATCTGCTGTCAGAAAACGAGTAGTGAGGAGACAAATTGGACCTCCCATGGAAGGGAGTTCAACAACCTGAGAGGAGCCACTGAGAAGGCTTTCTCAGTCTTTACCCTATTCGGGCCAACTTGTATAGGGTGTAGTATATGCGGCACGCAATGAGGACTTCAGATTTCCAAGAAGTGCTTGCAAGGCACCTTTACTGCCTGCGGGTTCAGTGATGGTTTTAGTAATGATTACCATATATATTCTTCAGTATGAGGGCCAATGAGCTTCTCAGTACCAGTTGCTTGAAAACACAAGTGGGAGGCTGCTGTTGTGGTCATGTCCTACTAGAGGACTTGCTATTAAGATGTCTCATTGGAGAATAGAATGCATGCCTAAACCAGTGGTTCCCAACCTTTTTTTTAGTACCCAAAGGTTCAACTTTAGATACAGTTTGGTTATTTGGGGTGCTGGTTCAGGAAATTGCATTGGATAGACCACATCAGCTCTAGGTTCTGATACAGACATATACCATCCAGTAGTTGCCATCTGCTCACCCACAGAAAGCCATATTTAATAATCTAGAACTGATATGGTAGTAGTAATCTTTCATGGGTAGTTGGTTTGTCCCTTCCCAACATCCTCATTTCCTTGACACTATAAGAGGGTTTCATGAGATCAGTTGCTATAGTTGCCGCATGGTTTTGAGGCAACAGTGAAGTAATGGTGAGACCACAGACAATATTTTCGTTTTTGTGGACCACTGGTAGGAAACCACCGGTCTAGACAGACTTCTGGTTTTATCCATGAGGGCTCTTCTGATGTTCTTATATATTGTTTCCATTGTAGCTATGCTGTGCTCATTCCCAGCTGTTGCAGTACATGGAACGATATAGGTGAGGATATTCACAGTTTGAGATATTGCCCATAACCATAATTTGTATCTATACTTCAGTTTGTTACTGCTATGGGCTTCTTTTCTTTTCTTGTTGCGTGTGTAGGAACAAGGCCAAAAAACTGCTTATCCTTAAAAATGCAAATTATAGTTTGCTGTTATTTCTAACCAGTGACTCCATGATTGAAATAATTGCATTGTTCCTAACTGGGTCGTAATTGATAATTTGAAGTACAATGATATGTGTTTTACAGCAATAAATTTAATACTGGTACTGCTGACTTTCTTATAGGAACTATAATAAAACACTAACGATATTTGACTGTGCATTGTTCAGGCAATATTAGTGCTGTAATTCTCTTTAAGCACTTTCAGAGTTGGAGCCCCCGGTGGCGCAGTGGGTTAAAGCCCTGTGCCGGCAGAACTGAAGACCGACAGGTCACAGGTTCAAATCCGGGGAGAGGCGGATGAGCTCCCTCTATAAGCTCCAGCTCCTCATGCGGGGACATGAGAGAAGCCTCCTACAAGGATGATAAAAACATCAATTCATCCGAGCGTCCCTTGGGCAACGTCCTTGCCAATTCTCTCACAACAGGAGCAACTTGCAGTTTCTCAGGTCGCTCCTGACACGACAAAACAAAAAACTTTCTGAGTTGCAAAATTGAGCCCATGTTAGTGATGTTTTTTCTTCTTCTTGAAATGATATAACCTCTGATCTTTGTCATAGGAAACGCTTGAAAGCAAAGAACCTGATGTATATTAAACAGATTCTGTTTTTGCTGGAGAGATTTGTTATTGTTCTGGGAGGTAAGAAATAAACTTAGTTCGACCTGACTGTTAATATGTTCCTACCATGTCTTGTCGAAGGCTTTCATGGCCAGAATCACTGGGTTGCTGTGAGTTTTCTGGACTGTATGGCCATGTTCCAGAAGTATTGTCTCCTGATGTTTCGCTCACATCTATGGCAGGCATTCTCAGAAGTTGTGAAGTTACAAGGATACCTGTCATAGATCTGAGCGAAACGTCAGGAGAGAATACTTCTGGAACATGGCCATACAGTCTGGAAAACTCACAATAACCCACTGTTCCTACCATCCTTGCATTTTCTACTTTCCGCACTGAAATTTCATATAATTTAGTTATGTAGCCAAATAATACTGTGAGATAAGGTGGCTTTGCTCCGAGCTTAATTTATTTCCCCATGTTATATGGATTGTACATATATTCCTCTTTCTAGGAGTTTTTGCATTGTCCTATGTGATCGAGGGAGAGCAATGAATTTTGGAATAACCGGCTGAGCTTTGTAGCTCTGTCAGTGGGTTGGTTTGGAAGAGGAAACAAATTTAAAGTCAATTTAATAAACCAGGTCTGCGGATTTCTAAGCGAGAAAGAAATCACTGCTTTCCTTTTTCCTCATTCCTTTCCTTGAGCGTATACTTTTACCTTGGAGAGGTGCCGTGTAAATTATATTAACTTTCAGTATTTACTGAACTTGCTCTCAGCGTAATGTAATTAAACTCCAAATTGCTTGTTGAATTTAATGTGTGTACAAATGCAATAAAGCTGTACAATGTGTGTACAACTTTTCAAATTAGGAAGCAAATTACATCTGTATTTCGTGGAGATACAGCCTTGAATCAATAGTGTAGGAAAAGACTCGATTCCTTCTAAAGAACAGCCTTGAAGAGAAAATGTTGCTATGGGCAAAGGAAAAACTGCAGCTTGGCTGCTTTGGTTATGGACCTTCTGAGAAATAAGAAAAACAGCCTTCAATGGGGGATGCCCACTAGCAAAGAAGTAATATTTTGGTGGTGGTGGTGGGGTGGGGGGAGGGGGTGGACACATGTGGATCTTTCTGAGACTAACATGGGAACATCACAAAATTTGTGAGAGCTATGATGATTATGAGGTTTCCTGTTGACAAAATGGGTTCAGTAGTAGATACTGTCAGTCAAAAAGCATCCATTTTTAGAAGTCATACTGTTGTAGCCAGCATAAATAGTAGGTAAAGGTTTCCCCTAACCTTAAGTCTAGTCGTGTCCGACTCTGTGGGGTGGTGCTCTTCTCCATTTCTAAGTTGGAGAGGTGGCGTTGTCTGAAGATAATGCTGTAGCCGTTACCTTCCCGCAGAAGCGGTACCTATTGATCTACTCACATTTGCATGTTTTTGAACTGCTAGGTTGGCAGAAGTTGGGGCTAACCAAGGGAGCTCACCCTTCTCCCTGGATTCAAACCACCAGTCTTTTGGTCAGCAAGTTCAGCAGCTCAGTGTTTAAGCCCTTTCAACATAAATAACTTGCCCCTAAAACCCAACAGAAGAGGCTACACTTTTCTGCTCTAGCCCCCATTTTACAGAAGGTGAAGTGAAGGGGCTCCGAAACAAGTAACTTTGCTAAGAAGCAGTTCGAGTCCTTCTTATCTTTAGGACCACATCTCCCCTTATGAACCGGCGCAGGCTCTAAGATCCACCGGAGAGGCCCTCCTCTCGCTCTGACCACCGTCACAAGCATGGTTGGTAGGGATGAGGCAGAGGGCCTTCTTGGTGGTGGCCCCCCAACTTTGGAACTCTTTCCCAAGGGAAAGTAGGCAAGCCCCTAAATTGTCCTCTTTTCGCAGGGATTTGAAAATCTGGATGTTTCTGCTTGCATTTGAGAAGGCCTAGTCCCTAGTTATAAATGCCCAGTCTCTAGGTTCCTTAATAATATTTTGTTCTCTGCACTTCATCCATTTCCCGGCCCTATGATACACTGCTTGCGCTATCCCATGCCCAGCCCTTTTATAACCTGATCATGCCCATTGTACTACTTGCAATTGATTGGTTGAATATTGTTTTGATTGAGCTTATTTTGCAAAAGATACTTTGATTTGGCTATTTGATATCTAATTTCTTAACTGATGTATTATTGTTTGTTTTCTTTAGGAAATGTAAATCAAAATCCCAAGACACAGAATATCTTAGAGGCAGGTAGGTTAGGCATCGGATTGCCTCCGTTGTGGAAACTGGTAGTTTTGACCAGGTGGCGAGATATCTAGCTGGGAATAAAAAACCTCTCTCTCTATGCTATATGTGATTATTATCTTTTCTTCAGGGGTGGAGCTGAAATCCATCAACGACTTCCTCTTCCAGTGTCAGATTGACAATATCAATCTCTTCAAAGTAAGCAATTACTTGGCTTTCACCAAATTTTGGAGTTTTGCTAATGAACCTGTAGTAGAGTTATGCTTTTATGCCCCAGCCCTGGACAGAGTTGCCTCTTTTCTATTTTGAATTGATCAGGAGATACTTCATTTTGGTTTGTGTTAATTTCCATATTTTATCTTCCTTAGCGGTAAAGATTTTAGTGGTGCTATCCCACAAATTTTATTTAAAGCAGAGGAAAAGAGTGTTTTGATGCTTCTGATACCCTCCTAGCACTCTTGAATATCAGCATGACTAGAAGGCCAGAAGATAGAATCATAGTGTTATAACTGCAGTATGAAAGGTCCTGGTTATTTTAGCACAAGTGGTTTGAACCTTCACTAATTCCAAGGTGCAGGTGGAAAATGGCTCTTGTATACTTTTGAACAGGCTGGATGGCCATCTATCAGGAGTGCTTTAATTTTGTGTTCCTGTACAACAAGGGGTTGGGCTGGAGGCCCTTGGAGTTTCTTCCAACTATATTATGTGATTGTATTCTCCATCAAAATTGCCCTTTACTGTCTCATAGGGGAGACACATTAGAATGAAGGGCAGTCCAGTGACTGTTATTGTAATTAGTACACAGTTGGGACAGTCAAAGAGTAAAGGCTAAGATATGACATGACAAATAACCTTTCTTTGTGTTTTTTCTCCTGTTAGGTTCAGCACTACTGTGAGAAAAGTCTAATCAGCCGGAAGGTAACTATTTTTGCTGCCCTTTCTCTAACTTTTGATGCATCTGCCGGAATAGTCTTGGGGAAAGATCTATGAAATGCCTTGTGTCCCCCCTCCCCTCTCCAAACAGTCCTGCCTAATTATATGCTGCCTGACATTTTCTTAACACTTTCAAGCTTTGTTGAAGGCTTTCATAGCTGGAATCACTGGGTTGATGTGAGTTTTCTGGGCTGTATGGCCATATTCTCTCCTGACGTTTTGCCCACATCTGTGGCAGGAATCCTCAGAGGTTGTAAGGAGGGTGAAATGTCAGGAGAGAATGCTTCTGGAACATGGCTATACAGCCCAAAAAATTCAGAGCAACTCACTTTCAAGCTTGTTTTAATTACTTTCCCCAACCAGAAAGCTTTTCTGTTTTATCTATTTGAAAAAAAATATGTGATCCTAAAAATCACACAGAGATTGTGCAAACCTCTGAACACGTCACTTATATCAGGGCAGAAGAGAATGGCTTCTGTTTGAAGATTTGGATTGACTGTAGTACTTTGGTGGCGTCTGCATTTTGGAAAAAATGAAAATTAACCGACCTGAGTCCCTCTTCGGAGGTCGAGAAGACCGGGTTATAAAAGCTATAAATAAATAAATAAAATACCATCTCAACAGAAAGGAGGAAACCATGGACAATTTCAACAGAAAGGAGGAAACCATGAAAATGAACAAAATCTGGCTACCAATATTAAAAAAACTCTAAAATTTCAACAGCAAAACAACAGAGGGGAAACAATCAGGCACGTGTAATCACCTCTCAACAAAAGATTGCCAGGCCATCAAATGCTAATCAAGGTGGTCAGTTGAAACATTCACACTAGCTCCAACAGACAAGAGTTCTTTGCCCCACCCTGGTCATTCCACAGATATATAAACCCACTTTCCTAGTTCCAATAGACCTCACTACCTCTGAGGATGCTTGACATAGATTCAGGCGAAATGTCAGAAGAAAATGCCTCTAGACCATGGCCATATAGCCCGAAAAAATCTACAACAACCCAATGAAAATACTGTCAGTCCACTATATTGGGTAGTGTTAGGAGCACAGGACCCTTGTTCAAAGAACTTTAGCTAGTGGAAATTAATTTTTTTGAAGAAAGAGGAAAATCAATAATTATTGAGCTCAAATGCTTCCTTTACTGTGAGAAAGCAGCAATTAATGTTGTCTCTGAAACACAGATTAGATCAAGGTGGCTGATAAAAAGGGAAATTAGAGTTAAGTAACTTGCAGCGTCTTCCGCTACCATCTAGTGGTCATTTGAAAAAATGTGGGGAACTGAAGCTGAAATGGTCTATAGCTGAAGATTGGAGGAGTCTTGGAAGTATAATTGCTTTTGGTTTCTCTGCTTTTGGTCAGTTATTTGGGTTTGTTGAGCGATACGGAGCGGCTGGAGCACTGAAAATAAGAAAGGCAGACCAGAAGATGTCTGGCTTGCAGAATTTCCTGGAAACGTTGAATAAGAGGCAAGGGAAGGAAGGTGAGCTTGGCTGCAAATTGGACTTTGCAAAAGAGTTGTAAAAGAGAAAACAAAAATACTCTGGGAACCTAAATTTCCATATTTTTGATCCACAGCCATTCCACAAGATGCCTCTGAAGAGGCTGAGGATGACCAGCCCAAAATGGCATCTCCTCTGATGCACATCGAGGGGTTTCTAGCTGCCTTGACAAATGCAAACCAAGACGGAAGAGTAATCCTCTCCAAGCAAGGTACTGTGCATGTAAACATTAGTTATATTTATATATAAGTAAGGAAATAACTGCATCCAATGGAGATAAAATATGGCTGCGATTTCCCTCTGAAGGTAAAAGGTAATGAATGAAAAGCCATTAAAAAAAGTTTCTGGTGCCTTTTGGCATGTCGAAAAGCAGAGGTGTTGTGTAAAGTAGTACATAAGAATACTCCAGCATGAAAAGGTGGGAAAGATGCCTGTTGGTTAGAGCTTTCTGTTGAATCAGTTATTACCTTTCTTTCATGTTTTCCTCATACTATGCTGACAATCCTTAGAATCAGTATAATAGGAGCCAGATGCTATATGGCCACTCTTTACTACTCTTAAATTGGTAGATTGCTAACTCTTCTAATATGTTGGCATGTCTGTTTTTCAGGCACTCTAGCTCTCAGCAGCCTCAAATTTCTTCTTCTGAATCCAGCAGTGCACTTTGCCCAAGTGCTGAAGGAATGTCGGGCTGTGATCATCGCCGGGGGCACCATGCAACCCGTAAGGGGCGATTCTGCTTTCTTTCAATAACTTTTGATTAATGTAGCCTTTCCTTCTAAGTAAGCAATAGTAGGGTTGGGGAGCTGGGTGCTTGTTGATATCCCTGTGGAACTGTAAAAGGCATTAACATAGAATCATAGAATCAAAGAGTTGGAAGAGACCTCATGGGCCATCCAGTCCAACCCCCTGCCAAAAAGCAGGAATATTGCTTCTTAAATATGTTTAAATATATTTATTTATTTTTATTTTATTTCCTATATTTATATCCTGCCCTTTCCCCTCGAAGGGGGACTCAGGGCGGCCTAACGAAAGCATCATACGATGCTAGCATCATAAAAACAACCACAGTATGATCAAAATATTAAAAATTAAAACAACAATTAAAACAATTAATTAAGACACATCCATTAAAATCGAAATCCAAAAACCAGTCTGGGTCAATTCATTGCCATAAGTTGTGTGATCTTCTTCCACTTGCTGCTCACTGATCAAAAGCTTAGGTCCCATAACCAGATCTTGATTTTCCTTCTAAAAGACAAGAGGGAGGTGGCCAATGTGATATCTCTAGGGAGGGTGTTCCATAGGTGTGTGTGTGTGTGGGGGGGGGGGGGGCACTGCTGAGAAGGGCCTGTCTCTCGTCCCCATCAGCCCTGTTTACGATAGTAGTGGGATCAAGAGCAAGGCCTCTCCTGAAGATCTTAAACTTCATGATGGTTTGTGGCAGGAGATACGTTAGGACAAGTAGTCTGGGCCAGAACCGTTTAGGATGATGGATCACATAGTATATTATCATCCTTGGTCTGAAACATGTATAGGAAGCACAAAAACTGTAGCAGACTGTAGCAAATTTGGCTCGCCTTAGAAAGTTAGGAAGTGACTTACCTTAAAGGGCTGGTGTGAGAGAAACAATTTTGTGGTGCCCAGAGAGCAATAGCACCAGTGGGGAAGCTATTTGCATGCGAGCTATCTGATTGGTTGGATGCAAATGAGCAGGTGCTAAGATTTGAAAGGGGAACCGAGTCAAGGATGACAGTTGGAGAAGTCCAAGTGTACATTCTGGTGTGGTTGGTCAGTGAGATAGAGTCAGTGAGGACGTAGCTGAAGAGCAGCTGGAAAGTTGGTCAAAGGAATAGGTTAAAGATAGCGTGAAGTCTGTTTTTATGTATTAGTATAACAGTCCCCTTGGGAAGAAGGAAAAGATTGAATGAAACCCATACTGAAATGTTGTTTTGTATCCGCAAGCATTTGTGCCTTTGTAGCCGTTACGCTTTTGCTGCAAGAATGCTAGAAATAAATTGAGTTACTGTTTCATTTTAAACAAAGCCTCTCTTTCTATATATCACCTCCAACTTGAGAAGTCATAAAAGGAGGAAGAAGAATTAAACATTCTTTTATTCCTTGGTGTCATATTTGCACAGGCTAGCAGCCTGCCCCCTTCCTGACCGTTTTGCATTTCTGTCAGTGGTTCTCATCCTATGGGTCCCCAGGTGTTTTGGCCTACAACTCCCAGAAATCCCTGCCAGTTTACCAGCTGTTAGGATTTCTGAGAGATGAAGCCCAAAACATCTGGGGACCCACAGGTTGAGAACCACTGGGTTAGATAAATAAATAAAAGGACCCTTCCACCAAGCAACAAGTTTGAGTGCCTCACATATTGATTGGTGTCTGAAGATTTCAGCCGGTATTTCTTAGGTTGAGCATTTCATGGATTATTTTCTAACCAGTAATAAAACACAGGTGAAGAGAGAAGTGATGGGGAGAAATGGCTCTTTTAAAAATAGTCATCAGATGATTTGGTATTGCAAGACCACACGGTGGCACTATAGTTCTTTCTTTAGTAGCCAAATGAAGGTGATGTTGTGTCATCCTAATTGCAAAGCAGATGAAACAAAAAGCCAGAGGAACAGACACGATATTGCTCTAGAAAGAAAGAAGGACCCATCGGCTCTGCTTTCTTTACTCTGGTCAGGAAGCCACCAAAAGCCATCAGTGTCACAATTTTTGTCAAGTTGCCATTTCAAAGATGCAGCAACAGAAAATGAGGTCCCACACTTACCTATGTATAAGTAGACCCATTTTGGGGGTCATTTTTTTTACATATGGTAGCTTACAGGACCCTTTTGGAATGTTTACTTAAAAGTATCATTTTTTCAAATCCAGAAGTGGTATTCTGACTACTTTGGTCTCATTCTTTTCATTTTACGGCATTTTGACAGCCTGCTTAGCCCCCAGAAAATCGGTCCAGAATCCCAAAACAGTTGCCCATCCTGCAACCATGTGGTTCGCTTTGGCTCCTCCTTTAGCGTGGTTTTGCTTGTAGTGCTTTTTATTGAAAAACACATATAATAATAATATTTATATTTGTCCTATCTCTCCAAAGGGACTCAGGGCGGTTTACAGACCAAAGTAACAAAGTGGCAAATATTCATTGCCAAAACAAACAAAGAATAACAAGAGTAAATGGTGTGGCCCTCCTGGGCCGTTGGTTCTGTGGCTGCCTCAAGGAGGGCAATGGGGCCCAGGGAGGGAGGCACATGGATGTTTCTAACAGTTACTTATTTATTTATTTACAGTATTTATATTCCGCCCTTCTCACCCCACAGGGGACTCAGGGCGGATTACAATGTACACATACATGGCAAACATTCAATGTCAAAGACACACAACACATATAGACAGACAGTCAGAGGCTATTTAACATTCCAATTTTCTGGCCACCAGGGGAGCCGTCGCTTCACCGTCCATCTGCGACACTGATTAAGTACTTCCGCATTCCCAGCATGCTTTGCTGGGGTGCTTTGCTGGAGTCTTTTATGGCTTTGTCAATTAGTTAAATTAATCTCCCCACACATAGGTGGTACCTAATTTTCCTACTTGACAGATGCAACTGTCTTTCAGGTTGCAAAGGTCGGCAACAAGCTACACAATTGGTTGAAAGCTCACTCCGACCCGGGTTGGCTTCGAACTCATGACCTTTTGGTCAGAAGTGATCTTAATGCAGTTGACACTCAGCCAGCTGCACCACAGTCCCGGTGCTTTAGATAGCATCTCAGAAACTCGAAAATTACCGGAAGAGTTGTCCAGAGAAAAGGGTTCTGTGTCTTCTATTGCACTGTTCTCCCCTCCATATTTGTAAGTCACAGCAGCCCATTTCCAGCATGACCAACAATGTGGAGTTTGGGGGTTGAGGTGCTGCCCTGCATTTGGTGTGCCTCATAATTCAAAGTTCCAGAAAACCTTCGTTTATATAACCTATAGGGGTCTTACCTGGGAGATGGCATGGTTAGTAGCAGAACCTTTCCTTCCTTAGAGAGCTGGTACCAAATATTGGAGTTGGGGGTGTGTGTTTCGGAAACTTACTTTTAGGGCAATAATTACAGGGTTTACTTTTTGAACTATGCCCACAGGGGGCTAACTCTTATACTCAAAATACACAGGGTTTTTTTTGTTTTGATTTGTTTTTTGGGTTTCTTTTTTATAAAATGACATTTTTTTTCACTACTGCTGGGAAAATACAAGAAGATTACCAGTGGAAAGCAAAAAAAAAAAAAATCTGTAAAATTTTGTCAGTGCGACAGTAGGTTTGCCCAAATAATGTCTCAACTGGAATCCCACTCAGACTGACATATGATAACTTTGAGAGGAATAGTAGAGCCCGTTTATGGTTTTGATCATGCATGTAAACAAAGACTGGGGCAACCCAGCAGTTAAGTTTTTTAAAGGTTGAAAAACAACTTCAGAATATTTTGCTGCCTGAATTGCAGATAGCTGATTTCCGGGAACAGCTGCTCCAAAGCGCAGGTGCCAGTGCTGACAGGATTGAAGAGTTCTCCTGTGGTGAGTGCTTTTTTCAGGTGGGGAATGTGCTTTTTGTGTCAGAAATCACAACAGGTGTGCCCAGGCAGATGGGGTGGCACTGCGTGGGGCTGAGCTTTGCTTGCTCTCCCTCCTTCCCTGCCAAAATGCCACAGCTGACAGCAACTCCTCTTGTCATTCACCTCTGGCTGTGCTTTACATGGGGAACCTCAGCCAGCATCATCTGGCAATAGCAGCTGTGTTTCCACCCCTCTGAAACGGGGATTGAAGGGAGGACCATTGTGGTTTTTTTCCCCCAAACTAAGATGGGGAATGTAATTATGGCACCAGTGGTCTGCATATCTCAAATTTGTATAAATTGAGCGTGGCTTGTTTAAGATAAGGCAATATGTCAATCACAACTGAAAATGGTAAAAAAATGTTGTGTGTAGTGTTCTTTAGGAGGACGACCTGCTAGATTCAATTATAAGGTACTTTGTTCCATACCACATGCTCGCTGGCTTTTGATTTTCCTCTTCAACATTCCATGCAGACCATCTATAGCAGTGTTTCTCAAGCTGGGGGGGGGGGCCATGAGGGGGTGTCAGAAGGATCAGCAGAAACAATCAGGAAACACAGTATTTTCTGTTGGTCATAGAGGTTCTGTGTGGGAAGTTTGGCCCAATTCTATTGTTCGTGGGGTTCCGAATACCCTTTGATTGTAGGTGAACTATAGATCCCATCAGCTACACTCACAAATGTCAAGGTCTATTTTCTCCAAACTCCACCAGTGTTCACATTTGGGCATATTGAGTATTCATGCCAAGTTTAGTCCAGATCCATCCTTGTTTGAGTCCACAGTGCTCTCTGGATGTAGGTGAACTACAACTCCAAAACTCAAGGTCAATGCCCACCAAACCCTTCCAGTATTTTCTACTGGACATGGGAGTTCTGTGTGCCAAGTTTGTTTCAATTCCATCGTTAGTGGGGTTCAGAATGCTCTTTGATTGTAGGTGAACTATAAATCCCAACAACTACAACTCCCAAATGAGAAAATCAACACACACACTCCTAACCCCACCAGTATTCAGATTTGGATGTATTGGGTATATGTGCCAAATTTGGTCCAGTGAATGAAAATACATCCTGCATATCAGATATTTACATTATGATTCATAACAGTAGCAATATTACAGTTATGAAGTAGTGACAAAAACAATGTTATAGTTGGGGGTCACCACAACATGAGGAACTGTATTAATGGGTCATGGCATTAGGAAGGTTGAGAAACACTGATCAGTACTAAGTTCTTAAGTTTCTTTTAGGCTATGATTTGCCCCCCGCTTTTTCTTTCTTTCTTTAATAAGCCCCTTGGGATTTTTGTACATCTGCCAACCTTCCCCCTCCTCCTTGTGTTCATCCCTCCTACTTGTGTGGGGGTGGTTTTGTTTTGATTACATAAGAACAGGTGCTCAGAGAAGTTCACTATTAGCATAAGCACGATGTTACTTGAGAGCCAAGCCATCTTTTCTCCCTTTCCTGCCAAAACAGAGACAATTTTTGGGTGGTATTTCAAAGGCTTATTTTCTTTTGGAGATTATTGGCGGCTTAGGATATTGTCATGAAAACATGTCTAACCTCTCCCCAAATGTTCTGCCTAAGATGGAATGAGAGAAGTGTCATTCAGTGGCCAGCATACTGTAAGTGGTATACCTAGGTGTAAACTAGCCTTGTGCTGGAATATGTTTATTTCTGGTCACTGTAGAAGTTGGTATCCCATTCCTCCATCCTCAGTAAACAAAGTCCTTCACTTGCTATGGAGGCACTGAACCTCTTCCCCAGCCATTCCATGCCTGATGGAGAAGCATCTGTCAACGTCCCCAGAATTGGATGCAAAATGATTGAATTCCTTACAGAAATTTCTGAAGGATCTCAACAAGCAATGTAATCACTTTGCATCTGCTTACGGAGACGTAGTGAAGTGATTTTCTGATCTTCTCACCCTGATCTCCACAAGGTTCAGAATGCCTTGGAGAAGGGCTGTGGTAGCTCATTATAGCAAAGTTCCTGATGTTCAACTACTACATTACACTGCATTACCCATGCAGAATTGTTGTGACCCATGTGGATGACCAGAGCTTGGAAAAATAAGGAACACTGCTTTTATTGTGCATTCCTTTGTGGGCCCTTGTGTGCTGAGAGATTATAAACAAAGACCATAAATAAATAAATAAATAAATCGTGAAAAGGTAATATTTTCTATCTCTAAATTTCAAGGCAGAATTAGTACAGATTTCTTGTATTTATGGGATTCTGAAAATGCTGCTTTTCCAGACATTTTTCAGGGTCATGACCAAACTACCCCTCCCATCTCTTTTCTCTAATGTTTTAACAGCTTTTAAAAAGTATTGGGGATTCTAGTCTCTTTCCTGACACTAGTTTAATTTGCTTTTTTCAGTTATTCACATTGATCTGACAGCTCTGATTTAGAATATTTAAATGCTAGTAGGAGAAGGGTCTCTTTTTCATGCTGTTTGCTTGGTTATTGAAATCTGCTGTGGGGACTGAGAGTACCTGCATGCAGAGGATCTATTATGCATCACTTGACTTATAACAGAACTGGGGAGCCTTTGGCCCACCGGTTTTTTTAGACTGCAGCTCCCAGAAGCACCTAACCAGGATGTTAAGTGGTAAGAGGCAGTAAGAGATGTAGGCCAAACCTCTGGGAGATGTAAGGCTGTCCTATTCAGGTTACCAGCCCGTGTTACAAGACTCCTGTTCAGCTTTTCTGCCTCTTATTTTTCTGTCTATTGCTTGTTATCAGGTCATGTGATTCCCCCAGACAACATTTTACCCATCATCCTCTGCAGCGGTCCATCCAATCAGCAGCTGGAATTCACCTATGAGAAGAGAGGCCTGCCTCAGATGGTCAGTATCTTTGTCCCTTTCTGTGGTGCTTCATGTTTTGGGCTCGGTGAAGGAGATAAAGACTAAATGGGGATGGCATTCTTATATGGACAAGGTTTTACACTGATTCCTCTGGAAAGAATCAGGATGTGGATTTAGAATACTTTCCTGGAGCATTTTGATCTTTTGAAGGTTGGTTCCTGGGGAAAAGAACTTAATCAATTCACATTTCTTTCTAATGCGATGTTAAAAAGGGGTAGGCATGAAGGCTCTACACAGCATCTCTGGAGTTTTATGTGAATGCTCCGCTTTCATATGCAGGCATATCTCAGTTAACTCAGTTTCCAACAGTGATGTTCTTTTTTTTTTTTAACAAAGGCTTTTTTTGCCCACCCAGCTTCCTCTTCTCCTCTTTGTTCTCTGTTAGCTGGATGCTTTTTTAAAGCATCTGAATTGGTAGGATGGTGAAGGAGGAATGGAGAAACACAGACTGATGGGTTGCAGCATAGACTATCTGCAGAAAACAATGAAATAAATCTTGAGCTGGGAAATCCAAGTACGAATCTGGTGTAACCGATGCCTTTTGGAACTGTGTTTGCATACCTGAAGCAGGCCATGTAAACAAGCAGCTGCTTCTAGAATTATGTACTGAACTTGTATCAGCATCAAAAGTGAAAGAAAGGGGAGAACAGATTAGACCAGGTGACTTAAACCTGTGGCCCTCCAGGTGTTTGGGCTTCCAACTCCCAGAAGCCCTAGGCAACGTGTTCAATGGTCAGGAATTCTGGGAGCTGAAGTTCAAAACACCTGAAGAAGCGTGCATTAGCCCAACAAATCAGCAGCTGCTCCCAGCATGTTAAAAAGGAAAAATAACAGATCTATGAGCTTGGGCACCAAAATGGAAATCGTAGGAGAAATGAAGGCTTTGGGGGAAGTAATCCCTGGATGTATTTTGGAAGAAGCTTTTAGGTGTGGTCTAGAAGGTTAAAAATGCAATGCATACTCAATTGTTTCTAGATAGATAGGTAGATAGATAGGGGGAATGTTTGGTGGAATATGCCAAACTGCTCTTTTCTTCTTTGTGGTGTCTGTGAAAATCGCACTTATAGGGTTTTCCTGCGCATGTGCAGCATTTAGGAACCTTCTAGAACAGTGGTTCTCAACCTTTCTAACACCGTGACCCTAAATATGGTTCCTCATGTTGTGGTGACCCCCAACCATAAAATTATTTTTGTTGCTCCTTTATAACTGCAATTTTGCTACTGTTAAGAATTGTAATGTAAATATCTGATATGCAGGATGTGTTTTCATTGTTACAAATTCAGCATAATTAAAGCATCATGATTAATAAGAAAAAAATATGTTTGGGGAGTATGGAAAACAGATGATGGGATTTGCAGTACCTTCAACCGATTCAGCTTTGACTTCCATAGACCACTGAGACCTCCACACAGAACTCCCATGTCAAACAAAAAATACTGGAGGGGTTTGGGAGGAATTGGCAGTGATTTAAGGGAGATGTAGTTTACCTACATCTGGAGAGCATTGTGAACCCAAACAACTATGGATGTGGACCAAGTGTGGCACGAATATTCAATATGCCCAAATTTGAACACTGGCGGAGTTTGGGGAAAATAGACCCTGACATTTGGGAGTTGCAGTTGCTTGGAGGTATAATTCCCCTGTCATTAAAGAGCATCCAGAACTCCAACAATTATGGAATTGATCCAAACATGGCATACAGAACTCTCATGACCAACATAAAATACTGGAGAAGTTTGGGGAAAATACCTTGACATTACGAAGTTGCTGTTGGTGCATTACGGAGGAGTCTGGGCCCACATCCGATAGGGAGGCTCTTGCAGTGAGAACCGGGAGTGGGAGGATCCACCACGCCGCCTGGCCTTACATGGAGCCTCTTGCCTGGCTCACATCCCTGTTGGCTGGCAAGTGTTGAGAGCCAGGCAAGAGCCAGGCCTCGCACTTTGGAGCCATCAGCTGGCTTGCGGCCTTGCCGGCTGGGAAAACCTCAAGACAGCCGAGGGAGGCTTCGCGTGATGCCAGGCCTCGCACTTAGGAGCCCTCGGCTGGGTTGCGGCCTTGCCGGAAGGCGGGACCGAGGCTCAGCCGAGGGAGACTTTGCGCGAGGCGAGGTGGGCCCTCAGCTGGGTCGCAGTCTTGCTGGAAGGCGGGACTGTGGCCCAGCCAAGGGAGGCTTCACGCATTGGGGCAGGGCCTAAGGAGGCAGCCTCGCGACCCCTCCAAAATGGCCAAACGACCCTCTTGGGGGTCGCGACCGCCAGGTTGAGAACCGCTGTTCTAGAACTCTAGGATTGAAACATTTTGGCGGAGGCCCTGCCCACACTCCCCATGTAGTATAAAGCTCCCATTTGCCATGTTTGCTGGGGGGTGGATGATGGAAGTTGTCATCCAGTACAGCTGGAAGGCATTATATTAAGGAGGGGGGCCTAGTGCCCCTCTTGCTGGAGTTGTTACATCACCTAGGGATGAATTGATTGATTTGTGTTATGACCAGCATTTGGAATGAGTGCTTAGTTATCAGATACATTGCAGAGGCAAGCAGTTTATAGTAGGAACATTGGACCCACCAAATTCACTGCCAGTTGTAGCATCCTTTCACCAGGATTCGCCTTGAGTAATGGCGGTGCCTTGCTTTTAAGTAGGACCATTCCTCTTTTTTACCTATCATGTTGCTATTGGAGTTGGGGGCGAAAATGGGTGGCTTGGAGTCTGCAGTTGGGTTGCTCACTGAAGACCTTGCTAGTCACTGAATCTCCTTTTTTTCAGATGGAGGAGACAGGCAGGATTCTTTGCAACTTGTGCAACATTGTCCCTGGTGGGATGGTGTGCTTCTTCCCTTCCTATGAATATGAGAAGCAGGTGTACATGCACTGGTGCAAGACGGGGCTGCTAACTCAACTGGCTGCAAAGAAGAAGGTGATTGCACAGCCAGTGCTGCGAATGGGGTATTTGAATGGAAGCAGATCATTTTTAAAACCAAACAATTATTGGCTGATTAGGGGCCTCTGCTCAGAGTTTTCATCTCTTTCCTTACATTGCACTCATTTCTTGCACAGTGAAGCGGAGAGGACATTTATATGGCAAATTCTGACCCAGTAATGAATAAATGATTTTTGCTGGATGCCTGATCATTTATACTCGGATCTAAATTACATTAACTGCTGCTACATGGTTTCTGGAAGTGCAGAGAGCATGATAGTATTTGCTTAGGATTCAGATTGAAACGGTACAAGCCAATCAGGGACTTTGTAATTGTTTTGTTTTTATTTTTGCAAATCAGAAGTTACATTTCTATAAACCGAATGGCCAGATCTTGCAGTTTATTTATTTACTTCACTTGTATAGCACTTTTCTCACCCCAGGGAGGGACTCAGAGCAGTTTCCAACACACCTGTGGCAAAATTTAATGCCTCACATACATATGAAACCTAACATAAAACAACAATAACATATAACTATCTATTATGCCAGGAGGGAGGGCGCTGATCTAATTTCATTGGGGAGAGAGTTCTATAGTTGAGGAGCGACCACTGAGAAGGCCCTGTGTCTCGTCCCCACCAGTCGCACCTGTGAGGGGGGGGGGGGTGGAACTGAGAGCAAGGCCTCCCTGGATGATCTTAACCTTAGAGATGGTTCATAAAGAGAGATACGTTTGGATAGGTACGCTGGGTTTCATTATTTATTATTATTATTTATTTTAGTAGCCACAACTGTTCAATTGCAGCAAAGGGAAAATAAAATAAGATCAATGACAGTGAAAGGAATGGGGAAGAAGGCCATTCCTACCTCTGACGTAATTTCTGTGATGGCAGAAGATTATCACACAAATAAGTTGCAGCTCTGTGGTGCAATGGGGGACTTTTTACAGGTTTTTGTTGTGGGGAGGTGATAGATCAGCAATGAATAACTGTGTGATGGCCTCTATGGCTGTTTGCTACCTCCATGTGGTAACATCCATAGCCAAGAAGCGAATTGGACAGTAGTTTTGTGCTTAAAAGAGCTTAAACCACTTTCAGTTGATGCAATGCTGTAATCCATTTTAGTTTTTCACTCTTTTTGTACAGAAAAAACTTGCCTCTGTAGGTCACCAAGGCTCTTACTTTGTGTGTGCATGCATGTTTTCATGTAGCTTCCCTGTATAGTAAGTAACACATCATTCCTTTAACAGATTTTTCAAGAACCAAAGAGAGCCAACCAAGTGGAGCAGGTGCTGGCTGAGTATGCCAAGTGCATCAAGGTAGGTGAGGGAGGGAGGAATGGCAGGCTGCAAAGTTCTGGGGTAGGGCTGAGCACAGTGTTTGTTCTATTATTTCTCCTTCAGCTTGTTGAACGTTTTTCTTTCCCTACCACAGCGTTGCAACCAAACAGTGGGGCCCATGACAGGTGCGCTGCTGTTTTCAGTAGTTGGTGGGAAAATGAGTGAAGGAATCAATTTCTCTGATGACCTGGGAAGGTAAATAACTAGTTTGTGAGCAACAGGCGTGGGTTGTGTATAAGTGTGTTTATCTATTATGTCATCACTGCTTAACTTCCCCCTCTTTCCTCAGGTGTGTGATCATGGTGGGCATGCCCTATCCCAACATCAAGTCTCCAGAACTTCAAGAGAAAATCGCTTACCTTGATAAGACAATGGTATGTAGCCCCCACATTGCTTCTCAGCTAAGTTTGCTTGTTAAGCAGCATTCTGTAAAAACAATACAAGAGTGTGCTTGCCTCAAGCATCTCTTCCTTCACAGTTGTGGTCTGCTGTGCTGTTAGCGATGAACAGAAGCTGAGGAAAAATTCTCCCAGTCTCACAGCCAGCATGGCCTGTCATAATTCTGGCTGGGGAGTTCTGGGAGCTGTGATTGAAACAGCTTATTATTTTTTCTTGTTGCAATCACATTAATTACAATGTCCAATGGGTTGGATCTAGTTTTTTTGTGTGGATCTGGGCTGTAGATGTGTATTTCTCTGTCTCTTCTTTCTCCTCACAACAACCTCTAGTGCCTTGAAAATGCTAATGGAGAGTCGAGTCCCCTTGGGGAGATAGGGTGGGATATAAATAAAGTTGATTATGATTATGATGATTACTATTATGCTGAGGTGTGGTGTGCAGAGAGAAATGGAAACCTGCAGAAAATGCCAGAGACTTCAGGAAAAGACTTAGGATTGAAATATGTCCCACTACTGAAAGCATATCTTGAATCCAATACCTTTGAACGGAAAGCTTTTGCTTTGCAGCCTTTGCAATTTTTCAGGGAGAAAAGAAGTAATAATGGAATTTTAACTGCTACTTTACTGCTACTTTAGTGATTTGCGACAGTGACTCATAGGACCAGGTGGAAGAACTTGGGATTTGCTTATGAAACATGGGATTCCTTCGGTTGGTTTAACAGAAAATTAATTATGACCAAGTTGAAGGGAAACCATGCATATTTCATTTTGCTTGAGTGGTTCATGGCTACTTGATGCTTCAATATCATCCATTCATGATGCATGTGTGAACTTTCCCTTAAAGCTACAAATGGAGCCAGGGGCAGTTCGTTGCATCCAGAAAATATTATACTGTTGTTTCTCTGTAAAAAGATTTATTTTTGGAAAGCGGCAGTAAAGAGAGAAGGGAAGCATCTGCCCCAGTTTTCTAAGTAGTGAGTTTCACGTTTTGTTTCTGTAGTATTTTCTGCTGTTTATGCTGTACCTAAACACTGCGGATGTTGTAGGCTTTCCATGGCATTTTTCTGTTCACTGGCTTTGAAAAGCATTTTATCTTCGCCTCTGCCCTCAAGCAGTTTGTCCTTGCCGTAGGCATCCTAATAGTGTCTGTCATATTTCATTAGGGCAATGTGGTTTCCTTAGGAGCCCATCCTGTTAATCTCTCCTCAACCCAGATCCACCTAGGATTGGTAATGTACCTTGACTAGAATACCCAGCCAACTTCTGCTTCTGTTCAACTATCTTGTACTTTTGAACTTGTCTATGAGGTATTAGTCTTTGTGACTGGTTAGGTAACTGTGCTGCTTGGATATATGCTGGTATACTACTGGGAGAGAATGGAACAAGGCAGTTAGAAATGAAGGCGGGAATGGACAGACTGAGTCGCTCATTCACTTTCTGCTGTCTTGGTTTCCTCTCTCCAGCCCAAAGCAGCAGGCCAGGCCCCAGGCAGGACGCTTATTGACAACTTGTGCATGAAAGCAGTCAACCAGTCAATAGGTAAGGCTACTGGCAGCTGAGGGTTTGATCATCCCCCAAAATGGCACTTGAATGAATGAATGATTTATTGTACCAGCCATAGGCCATGACATCACATATACAACCTTTAAAAGTACAATAAGCACTTCCCAACATTAAACCTTATTCTATATACTGGTTCTTTAAAAATATAGTAGCAATGACATGATAACAATAACAAATGTCTGATTTGTATCATTGCAAACTATCTCCCTTTCAATTTCTAGCCAAAATGGCACTTTGATTTCCTAGCTGGGGAAACTCCTCTGGAACTAATGGCTGGAAGCCATGGGAAGTGCTAGAAACTGTTGCACTTTTTTGATGAACATGGCCTGGAATTCAGAGAGGCAAGGGGAGAGGGCTGCTTGGAGCATCAACACATCATCCCAAGCTGGCAAATAGGTGCTTGGGTAGCTCTTCCTTGGTAACTGGTAAACTTGGCAGACCTATGTGGAATCAGCAGCCGCACCATTATATTGTTGTCTAATAAATGTTCCTGGGAATTTACATGCAAGGTTGCTTTAGCAACTAAAGGGCGAAGGATCAAGAAGAAAACACATGTTGTATGCAAAGACTCCTAAGTCCTGTCCAGGCCATATCTATTGCAAAGATTCAGAGCTTGGAAGTTTATTCAAAGCTTATCAAGGTGGCCAATTGCAACATTCACACCTGCCTCCAACAGACAAGAATTCTTTCTTCCACTCTGTACATTTCACAGATATAAACCCCACTTGCCTAGTTTTCAACAGACCCCTCAACCTCTGCCATAGAGGTGGGCGAAACATCAGGAGGGAATCCTTCTAGAACATGGCCATACAGCCTAGAAAACGCACAGCAACCCAATGAATATAAAACTTCTATATTACAAGCTTTTTCCATTTTAAAAAGAAAACATAAACTACCTCACTTTGTTGGTCAAGATAATCATCCATCTTGAAGGATAAAGAATATTGGGTGGCTAAACTGTAATTTGTAGCATGCGCCATTGTTTCATTCATATTGCTCAGATCTGTGTGCATACAATTCCCATTCTTCAAAGGAAATCTAGGATTACTGTTGCAGGACAGGTGTAATGGTTGCGAGCAGTACTACGTGATCACTCTGTGTTTGCCCTTTCTTTCAGGGAGAGCCATTCGACATCAAAAGGACTTTGCTAGCATTGTGCTCTTAGATCACAGGTATTCACGCCCAGCTATTTTCAACAAGCTGCCTCAGTGGATTAAAAGCCAAACTCAGGTCAAGGCTGGTTTTGGACCAGCATTTGCAGCACTAAGAAAGGTGAGTCCTAAACCAGATTCTGCTAGGCTACATGTGAATTATATGGAATGATTGGTGCCTAAAGAACATGAGAATTGATAAAATACATAGGTAGGGAATAATTTTTTCTGGCTTGTATTGTGCTCCATATTTTGTGTCTCTTACTGTTCCTGTTTTGTCTTACAGTTCCACTGGGAGAAGAGATCAAATGGTAAAGCTGTATCTTCTTGATTACTACATTATTTAGATTACCACTTTGTTTATTGTTTATTGTTAATAATGTGTACATATTTTCCATTCTAATAATTACATTTTTTTCATGTCTGTTGTTCAGAGAGCTTTCTTCCATCTTCAATGGGCAGAATTGGATTGTTGGCCCAAGCATAGCTTTTGCTTTTTGCACCATTGATGGGTCTAAGTCTCTCTCTCTCAATCCTGAATGTGTCTTGCTTAAAAGTCCAAGGAAGACACTTACCTTTAAGATCAGAACAGGTCATTGCAGATTATTCCACAAGGGTTTTAGGCCTCCCCCTTCCCCAACTGTAAAGGCCGACACATTATTGACCTTTTCTCTTTCAAACAGCTTTGTAAGCAAGAACAACCCGTCAAATGTGACCAGCTAAAACATGCAAGGGAAAAAGAGCACATCTCATGATTTGTCAATAGGGCACTGATTGAGGGTATATGCAGCATTTGAACCAGTAGGTCTGGCTACTAGTCCATTTGTATAAAATTGCTATCCATTTTGGTTTGTTTCATTCGTAGGGCCCCGGTTTTTGTTTTCGACTGCTGCTTCGAATAATTTGTTTGTTCTTTCGTCCGAATGAACAAAACTTTTGGACCATTGGCCAACATGGGCGGCCTTCCCAGGTACCCCTTCCCCTCAGTTTTAGGACTTTGCTGTTGTTTATTTGTTCAGTCATTTCCGACTCTTTGTGACCTCATAGACCAGCCCATGCCAAATCTCCCTGTCAGCCGTCACCTCCCCCAGCTCCTTCAGAGTCAAGCCAGTCACTTCAAGGATGCCATCCATCCATCTTGCCCTTGGTCTTCCTTTTTCCTTCTATTTTCCCCAGCATCATTGCCTCCTCCAAGCTTTCCTGTCTCCTCATGATGTGGCCAAAGTACTTCATCTTGGCCTCTAATATCCTTCCCTCCAATGAGCAGTTGGGCTTTATTTCCTGAAGTATGGACTGGTTGGATGTTCTTGCAGTCCAAGGCACTCTCAGAACTTTCTTCCAGCACCACAATTCAAAAGCATCTATCTTCCTTCACTCAGCCTTCCCTATGGTCCAGGTTTTAGGACTAAAGGGGTAAAAATTTTAGGTCCCCAATTTTTAGGATTTTTTTCCTTTCTATAAATCATCTTAAAACATTCCCTCTTTCCCTTCCTCTTGATCTGCAGAGGAGCAGGGTTTCAGATACCACAGATTCTGAGAGGTTTCCCTCTTGCTATGCGGAGGAGACCCCAGCTTAATGGCAAGGCTTAAGATACCACCTATAGCCTGGTGAACTCACTGTTTTCTTGGGCTCTGATTGGCCCAAACACCACCACCTCCTCTGATGCATGCCGAAGAACTCCCTGGCGGTGAGGAAAGCTACACAAACAAACAAAAATCAAACAAACAGAAATGGTGCAATTTTCTCTTTTGTTCCACCTTTTGTTTAATCTGAAATGGCTCTTTTGTTTCATGCCACCCGAATGGATGGTACAAAATGAATATCCGAATGAAACAAATACTGTGCCCACCTCTACTGGCTATTAAGAAGTGTAATGAAGTCCTTGACCAAAGGGATGCTTAGCTTCAGCTTGTTTCTCTGAACTTTAAGCAAAAGCTCCTCTTGGCAGAAGAACAAGTCAGGTCTGTAGCTGTATTTTAACCAGACAAGCTTCCTGCCAGGATGGAGGTCAAGGAGCAAGACCTATGAGGCATTCTTTTGATTCTTCCAGCCTCCAAAAAGTTTAAACGGCCACAATTTTATGCAACAATGTGTACACAAGCAAAGATGCCACATATTGTGTACAATATCTTCCAGGAGTGATTGGAACGATATACATGTATGACTTGAATACACATTTTTGAGAGCTCTATGCACATGACCAAGATTCTTAGCCCAGACAAGTTTCCTGAGATGTACCCAAAACTGCATTTGACATTCTGGGTTTGCAGATCAAGTGTATGCTGCCTTAATATAATGAAGCAGCTAGGGATCCTTACAGCTAAAGCCTCAAGCAAAAAAACATCTTCCACATTTGTAGAACAGGTCATTGAGAAATAGAGTCTTCCTTTATATGACAACCATGTCTCATGGGGCAGGTGAGATAAATGAAAACCCAGGTGGGTTACTGTACTGGCAAAGAACATGCCTGGGTAACTGCCAAGGGCTTGAGGTGCCACTTTTCAAAATGGCCAGAGGCTTGCATGCAACATTTTATGTGGGTTTTTAAAAAAAACTTTGCAAATCAAATGCTCTAAAATGTGGTTATCTGTGTGGAGGCCAGATTAAATATTAGTAACTAAAATTAATTTTTCATTCAATAATTAAATATTATTGAATTATTAATGTTTTCCTCCACTCAAGCTAGAGTCCTGTTTGTGCCCCATGCCAATGAAGGCAAGAGGAAAAAAATCTGAGAAAAAAACTTTCCTAACAGCTGTGAAGGAAATCAGGCATTTGAGAGCCAAGCTTCTTTGAGCAGGCAGATTTAAACTGGTATCCTATTAGTGACATACTGTATATACTCGAGTGTAAGCCGAGTTTTTCAGCCCTTTTTTAGGCTGAACCCCCCCCCCCAGCTTTACTTTAGTCAAAGTTATTTATTTTACTGTTGTTATTAAATTTATGTTACTCTCATTGTTACATTTCCATTATTTTACTCTATTAACTGTTATGATTACATTTTCATTATTTTACTCTATTATAACATTTCCATTATTTTACTCAATATATTTATTATTACATTATTTTGCTCTTATTACTGTTATTATTACATTTTCATTATTTCACTATTATTATTATTACATTTATTATTTTACTCTATTATTATTGGAAGGATATGTAAGCACATTACATTGAAGAAGGTTAGAATAATGGTTATCTTAAATTACAGTTTTATGTAAATATTTAAAAAGGCTTTACCTACTGACACCTCAATTAATGTAATTTTATTGGCATCTATTTTATTTTTTAACTTTACCAATAACTGCTGCATTTCCCACTCTTGGCTTATGCTGGAGTCAATATGTTTTCTCAGTTTTTTGTGGTAAAATTAGGTACCTCAGCTTATATTTGGGTCAGCTTATACTCAAGTATATACGGTACGTAGGTTTAATTTGTACTATGCATGCAGCATAAATTTTTTTGGACAAGGACGGTTGTCACTGCCAATTGACAATAGCAAATCTGGAATTTTTGCATATGTGTATTGCATTGAGGTGCACCGAGTAGCATGTCAAATGAGCATTGGCTCTTGCTTTACTTTTATGCATTGCAATTGTTAGCCATGTGTGCTTACCATTGATCCATTTGCATTCATTATAGGGGCTGCCTAACTTAAATCCATCAGCCCTAAGATGATCAGCCACAGTTGGCCTTCTCTTGCCTCTTGTATTTGTTCCTGGAGAAAGTACAATGGTTGACATAATGCACCAAAAGGATGTTAGCTGTTATTAATATAATATCCCCTTACTCATTATTGTTTAAGACGTATACAAATGGATCTTAATTGCTGTGTGCCTTCCAGTCATTTCTAATATATGGTGACCCTATTGTGAGGTTTTCTTGGCAGAATCTGTTCAAAAGAAGTTTGCCCTTACCATCCTCTGAGACTGAGAGTGCATAACTAGCCCAAGGCCTTGCAGTGTGCAAGGATGTACTTAGATTTTAATAGGTTACTATAATATTGAACTAAAGGGACCAAAAGGTTTCTTGCTAAACTGAGGTGGCTAGTAACGATGTGGTGTTTTAAAAAGGAGAGAATCTAGAAAAGGCTTGAATGTGATATAGCACTTTTCCTGACTTTGCAGACACCACCTTCAGTCAACTCCTGCTTTCCCTTGAAGAGCTAAAGCTGGCTGAAGTAGGTGGCTCCTGAGAAAGTAGCCTGAGCTATAGGCCCTGTTTTCCATCTTAGAACAATTTGACGTACACAACAGAAAACAGGTTATTGACATTTATTAAGAGGTACTTTTAATCAGTCAGCTACTCACATGTGCGAAGCAAGCAGTTTTACTTGCTGAGCTAGTTCTACATGGAAAGGAAATAAGAACTGAGTTGAGTGATATAAATGTCTCTCTCAATTGTACTTATCTGTCTGCACCTGAAACCCAGGTCTCTCCCTACCAATTCTCTATCCTAGCAAAACTACCCCAGGATGGGTTCTACTGCAGGAGGCAAAGACTGCCTCCATGAATTGTGAGTGTCACATCATACTTGACCAGGGGCTTTTCACTCAAGAAGAGAATTGCCTTTGATCGCCAGTGAGCACCAGCTGCCCAGCAGCAGATTTGGCAGTATATACAAGGAGGAGATAATTCACACTGGAAGGCTGGTGGGCAGCAGAGGAGGCAAATTGAATAGTAATAATGTCCACTGATGAGTATACATTGCAGGAGTGGGAAACAAGCCAGAATGGGAGGGAAAGAGACTGCACGAGAGGGTCTCTGTGTTACACAAGGGCTCCCTCTTTCTGAGTGCCTCTTTTTCAGTCTAGTGGCTGCCATGTGTTGGCAACGCCGAAGCCGTTCTCTGCCAAAGGAAGGCAGCCGTCTAGGACTCCCAGTCATCTTCATTGTCTTCGCCAGCTGGCTGCTGCGGGGGAGGCAGAGGCGGGATAGTGTCCGATATGCGACCAAAGGCACCAGCGGGCAAGTTGGGAGCATTGCTGTCCCCTCCAGCTGCAGGCCCTTTGCCAGAGATGCCTGCAAAACAGCAGAAGCAAGAACCCTTTTAATGTAAAACAAGAGCCACCCCCACACTTGAGATTTGTAATGTGAAAGCCTTCATGTCTCAAATCTAGGGGCACTGGATCAAGATTATATTAGCCTTGGAAAGTCGGAAAGTGTTTGCTGAGGCATTCAGGATTTTGGAAGGAGCAAATGCAATGAAGTGCACATTTACCCCCAAGCTAGATATCAAACACTGTTTTGCTCAAACGCTGTTTTTAAAAAGAAGGTAAACTTTTTAGTTCAAAAATATATGCAGCCCAGAGGTCAGAAGGAGATGAAGACACCCTGTTTTTAATATACCGAGCCAAGTGAAAACACTGGCTTTTATAGAGTTCTGTGCTAAGCTCAGTAAAGACATAAGGCAGAGTTGGGCAACTTCAAAGTCTTCCTCAAAACTCATCAACATGCCACACCAGTAAAATATGTAGCAATAAGTAAAGGTAAAGGTCTCCCTGACATTAAGTCTAGTCGTGTCTGACTCTGGGGGGTGGTGCTCATCTCCATTTCTAAGCCGAAAAACCAGCATTGTCTGTAGATGCCTCCAAGGTCATGTGGCCGAAATGACTGCCTGGAGCACCATTACCTTCCTGCCGAAGCGGTACCTATTGATCTACTCACATTTTGCATGTTTTTGAATGCTAGGTGGGGAGAAGTTGGGGCTATCAGCAGGAGCGCACTCTGCTCCCCGGATTTGAACTGCCAACCTTTTGGTCAGCAAGTTCAGCAGCTCAATGGTTTAACCCGCTGCACCACCGGGGGCTCCTAAGTAACAATAATGATGATATAATAAAACCAGAACAAAAAATAACTGGAAATCTACATCAAACTAGATTTCATTCTGAGGCTGGGCTAGAGATTGGGGTCCTGACCCTATTCTATTAGAAAACTATATAGGCCTAAGATGCCACTATGAGTGAGAAAAAACTTTTTAATATATTGTTGCACAAAAATAAGAGGAAAAGATAGAGGATGATGTGTGGGTGGCTTTTGGAACTAACATTTTCTTTGAAGGCCGCATACAGCCTGCTAGCAACACTGAAGAGAAGAGGGTCTCTGGGATCATTAGAGGGCATTATAATCAGGCCAGGACTAAATCTTACAGTAAAGTAATTTCACCCCACTACTTGGCTATGACCCAGCAAAATGGGTAGCTTCAGTCCCTTGTGCAAAGAAAGGCCAAGGACTTGTCCACCCTTTGCTGGAGAGCTCAAGACCTGCCTTGAACTTCTAGACCCCGAACTCCACCACCAAGGAAATAAGATCGACCCTTCCCTTGTTCCACTATCCAAACATTATCCCATTGTTACAATACATTCCATGGTAAGTCCCAAAACAGTTGGAGGTTTGTCATATCCCTGGAGAGAAATAACCTGGCACAGGATAGTTTACCTTTGCGTCGGAGGACCAATTTGTTGAAGAGGTCTGACATCAGGTCCCCACCTTGCCCTGTAGTGCCGACTGGAAAAAGCAAAACCAAACCACAAGCATCCAATCAGAAAGGGAAGACATAAAATGCTCAGAATATTAAAGAGATCGGAGGGTCGACATCTACAGCACTACAACAGCTTCATATAATAGAAGAAAGAAGCACTCTGCTTTGTAAAATGACAGCCATCTCAGCATATAGTATTGAGCAGGGGTGTGTGCATAATGTAAATGTCACAAGTACAGAAAACAGGCAGACTTCAGATTTACCTATTTAAGAAAGCAGAAATATATCTCTAGAGCTAAGGATTCATGTGTATGAAAGGATAAAATTATTGTGTGCCGAGACTCTGGAACACAGGTCTAATATTGTGGGTGAGCCTTCAATGCCAGGCAGAGCTACTGGCTTCACCCTGATCTCGGATTAGTGCTGACTGGAAAAAGCAAAACCAAACCACAAACATCCAATCATAATGCAGAAATCTTCCAAGAAATCAAAGAGTGAACTAAACTGATTATAGAACAGAGTTATGGTTCAGTACTACTACTGCAGTAGCAGCAGCATTTCTCAACAGAAAAAGTACAATGTAATATTTCTGCATATAAGAAGTTAGTACTGAAAGGCTAAGCTGGATATTGGCATCTAGAAACTACAAATAGCAGCTAACCTTTATTCATTTGTCCCACTTCTGGGCTTTATGAACATGGATTGGACACAATCCAGATATGGAAAGGGCACCAAGAAGGAAGCAAATTGTATTCTCAAGAGAAACTGCTCTCAAGCTTCCCAGTCTGAAGGGCTTCACTCCTTTACTCCTTAACTTTCCTACTGGCAGCAGAAGTATTCTAAGGTAGCAATGTAGATACTGAAAACATAGTCCACATACTATCAAACAACACCACCCATCATTCCTGACCACAGGCCATGCTGACCTCATCAAGGCTGATGAGAATGGCGAGCCTAAGAACAGCTGAAGAGTAGCAGTTATTTCAGTCCTGCATTAATGTCTCCCTGCAGCTATAGGTTCAGTGTGGTCTTTGCTTAGTATATCCAGGAACTAATTAGGAACAGAGCTTGTAGTACTCCGTTTACTCATCTCTTGTGTATATAGTGAGGATTTTAGGCATTGCCATGTTCTATGCTGTTCAAGACACCCAGCAGACAAATCAATCAGATCTACTCAGATGAAAAGTGAGTGGGGAGAACAGGCAATACCTTGTTCTTTTTCCTTTTGCTTTTTCTTTTCCATCTTCCGCTCCTTGACACTACGGAGCTTGGCCTTCCCAATGCCACCAGCCTGCCTGATGGATTCAAGCAGAGTGGCCCGGCCGTTTGATGGATTCACAACTTCTTTTGGTGCTCCTTGAAGGGCAGCTGCAGAGAGAGAGAGAGAGAGAGAGAGAGAGAGAGAGAGAGAGAGAGAAATGGAGACTCAGAAGAATTCTGCAAGTTCCATCCACCAGAATTTTGCAATATTTATTCACCATGTCTGGCCACTTCTTACATGGTTGTGACAAGGCTGCTAACATAAATGGGCAATGCATGGTTTTCCATGTTATTGGAGCTGCAACTCTAGTCAAGCACTGATTCGTTAAGAGATGCTGGGAATCATGGTTCCATTACATCTGGAGGGCCACACTGTTCCCATCTATGGATTACAACTGGATGATGCACAAGGAGATTTCAAAACACTACAGAAATATTGGCTGTAATTTCAAGCTAAGCGGTGTCTCCCAACCTGACTACCCTGCAGCAGCCATTGCAAGTGACAGGTCTGTTTTTCTGTTGATCTGGCCCAGCTGACTGACATTTCCACAAATGATTTCCAGTGCAACAGTACTCTTCCTCTTCCCATTGGAGGTCATTTACAGGTGGGAATGAGTGAGCAGCACCCCAATCAACAGAACAGATCTATCTCCTGTAGAACTATGTTTAAGGCTTTTTGTATTCCAACAATACATTGCAAACTAAAACATGAGATATCATACAATGCATTCTAACACAATGCAGCACAACCAGATGCATTTGACACTGCTATTTCCATCTCCCCACAAAATGCACCCTACCATCTAACTTGCCATCCCAAAATGAAAAACACAAATTCAAGTAGCAATCTCTTCCTTGTTTATTCACACTACACATTAATCTTGTAGATATCTTTACAGAGGATTTTAATATTCAAAACTTCCAAGTATAATATCTCCCTCTTTTTCAAAAACTCAATTTATCTACAGTTAAGGTTTGGGAGACTTTTACTTGTTTAAATATTTGAAAGGATGTTACAAGGAAGAGGAAGTAGTCTTCATTTCTCTTGCTCTGGAAACTACCACTTGGAGCAATTAGTTCAAATTACAGGAAAAAAGATTCCATCTGAACATTAGAAAGAACTTCCTGACCACAAGAATTGTTTAACAGTGGAAGTCACTGCTTCAGAGTGGTGCAGGATGACCATCTGTCAGGGGTGCTTTGATTGTGCTTTTCCTACATGGCAGGGGGTTGGACTGGGTGGCCCATGTGGTCTCTTCCAACTCAATGAACCTATAATTCCACAATCCCTATGTGTTGCTTTACATTATTGAAATGCAGGAAAGAATTGCTTGTTTTCTCAGCTGCAAACCATCGCACTTACCTGATGGCCCTGCACCGCTCATCTCTTCGGTCTCTTGAGACTCAGCCAGGGGTAAGGCCAAGGGAGGAGGAGGCGGGGGTGGTGGGACACCAACTGGCATTTCAGGTGGTGGCGGTGGTGGAGGCGGCGGGGGAGGAGGTGGTGGAGGTGCCCCCTCATGAAGATCTGAAACACCAAGAGTGTGCCAATAATCACACAAGTAAACATTTGAAAATACTAGCCTTTTCTACTTCTAGTCATTCATCTCTAGATGCTCTCTTTACTTTGCAAGTCTCACACTATCAAAACCACAATGATGTATTTGCATCCCTGCATTTTTAGAACAATATAACAATATGGGTTATGGAAAATAATGCAGCAGAGAGATAGAAACAGCCTTCCTTACTGTGCGGAGAGGTTGCAGTTCATTTATCAGCTGCCAACCAGATACATACACCAGTGCCACCCTAAACCTCTTAAGGAACAAGAGTCACAAGCCAACCCTGAAATTGCTATCTCCAGGTGTTCACAAGAACTATAAAAGATAATGAGAGATGACCAGGGTCTAACTCTTCAAACTGTTGGCACAGATTAGAGTCATCATTTCCTACTTAAAACGGATTAGCCTGGAAACTTGGCAGTCCCATTTATTCACTTGTCGCCAGGTGACATACAAATAAGCTGGAAAGCGTAAGACCTGATACAAACCCACTCCTTTTCTTGACACACTGCATACAGCTACAAGCCAGATTAACAAAGGCTTGTTTTGGTATGTTCTCCCAACCATACCCCAACTCACATCCAAATTAGTATATTTTTGCATTCCTTTAAGAAAGATTCTCTTTCCTACAATAGCATCCAGATTTGTAGTATGGGAAACAAGTCAGTTATGTGTTCCTTGGCAGAAATGTGAAGAGGTATGGCTATCCAATGTTTTCTTTCATACTCCCCATTTTATGTTCTTGTACACCACTAGTTCTCAACCTGTGGCCTGCGTCCAAGCAGTAGGCTGTGAGAACGAAAATCTGGTCCGCGGTGAAACTCCTTCCTCTTTATTTTATTTATGCTCCTTTCCACAGAGCAGACTAGACCTGCCCATTTTGATGCTAATATTGGAGAGTGATCCCTGTACAAGTGGGCCCTGTTCAAGTGGGTCCCGGACAAAGTGGGCCCTGGTCAAGTGGGCCTTATTCAAAGTGGTCCCTATCGAAGTGGGCCCTGGTCAAAGTGGTCCCTGGTCAAAGTGATCCCAGGTCAAGGTGGGCCCTGTTCAACTGGGCCCTTTCCAAGTGGTCTTTGATCAAAGTGGACCCAGGTTAAAGTGGACCCTGTTCAAAGTGGTCCCTGGTCAAGTGGGTCCTGGTCAAAGTGGTCCTTCTTCAAAGTGGTCCCTGTTCAACTGGGCCATGTCCAAGTGGTCCCTGGTCAAGTGGGTCCTGGTCAAAGTGGGCTTTGTTCAGTCGACCCCGGTCAAAGTGGGCCCTCTTCAAAGTGGTCCCTGTTCAACTGGGCCCTGTCCAAGTGGTCCTTGGTCAAAGTGGGTCCAGGTCAAATTGGGCCCTCTTCAAAGTGGTCCCTGTTCAAAGTCGACCCTGGTCAAAGTGTGCCTTGTTCAAAGTGGTCCCTATCCAAGTGGGCCCAGGTCAAAGTGGTCCCTGTTCAACTGGGCCCTGTCCAAGTGGGCCCTGGTCAAGTGGGTACTGGTCTAAGTGGTGCCTGATCAAAGCTTGGGAACAACTGACATACATAATTTCCACTGCAGAGGGAAGGCAGGAGGAAGAAATACCTTGACGGAAACTTTCAGTAGGTTCAGTGTTGAAAGTGGGCAAATCTGGAATCGCAGTGCCAGGAGCAGAGGGTGCAATGCCAGGACCCAGGTCTGCACTGTACATGAGATCTGCAGCGATACCAGGCAGGTCAGGCAGATAGGATGGCACATCGATCTCGGGCACCTGCCCTAGATCTGGCACATAAAAGTAATTTTCCGCCATCTGAAAAATCACAAAAACAGTAATTGCCACTACAGGCAGACATTCACTACCTGGATGGACATACAGCTCAAGGTGAGTTAAGTGAAACAAGATTTTCTCCACTGGATACAACATGGAAAAATATATGCAGTTGATGAAACTAGACTCCTTCTATGATCCAGACTTGGGTCACTTTGGGAGACCTTAGTTCCCATAATCTTCCATTCAGCAACCAAAAATGTTCCAAATGCTGGTGGTAACATGGCAAACCATAAAAAATTGCAAATTCAAACATGAATGCTGAGGGTTGGGGATAGAGTTCCTACCAAAAGATGCTTGGTTCCAGAATGTTCTGTGTGAAAGTTAAAGGATGAACAAACAGCAACTCCCAAGCTTTATCCAAATCTACAAAGATACACCATGGCTGCTATAAACAGTTTATAAACTGTTTTAATATATACAAACACACACACTAACCCTATATTCTTTGCAGATCTTCTTGCCTGAAACTAATTGGTCATTGTTAAGGCATATGGCAGGCCCTGTAGAACAATGCAGGAAGGAGTGAAACTTGTCCAATTTAGGAGCCGCACCAACTGGACATGATGTTATTCTATCAATGCCAAGGTTTTGCAATTAGACCTCATTAGAATTTTCCTTCTGAAGAATTGTTATCAACTGATCAAGGCTAATTGACATCATGCTTTGGCCGGTGGTTCCTGGAACTCTAATTTAGGCAAAGTTCTGTTCAGTTGGTAGAAAAATTCTCTCTTCTGTTTTGGCCCTCAGCCACACACCTTGTGTTACTGCCAGGAAAACCTGGCCTTCTATTTTCAACTATACAATCGCTTTTGTATCAACAATTTATATCTATTCACCTTCCTTTCTACAGTCTAGTAGGTATCAGTTTTTCATGTCCCAAAATAAAGCTCAGGAGTTGATGTACATGAAAAAGATGGATAGGATACAATAAACAAACCATCCAAAATGAGCCGAGGCAGGAACAAGGCAAACCTTGTAACTTTCTCCTGTGACCCAAGTTGGGAAAAGCTTTTTTTTTTGTATAGCTATTGTTTATTTTTGCCGAATTTGTAAGCTGCCTTGAGTCCCTTCTCGGGTCTAGAAAAGCGGGATAGCAATGAAGTAAATAAATAAATAAATGCAGTCCTCCAGCCAGCATGGATGACAATTCAGGGATTTGTAGTCCATTAAGTACCCTTAATGGTTCACTGATGGCGCAGTGGGTTAAACCGCTGAGCTACTTAATTTGCTGACCAAAGGTTGGCAGTTTGAATCTGGGGAGATGGGTGAGCTCCTGTTGTTAGGCCCAGATTCTGCCAACCTAGCAATTTGAAAACATGCAAATGTGAGATGTACTGCTTCTGCAGGAAGGTAATGGCACTCCATGCAGTCATGCTGGCCACATGACCTTCCACCTTGCACATAAACGGCTCACCTGTTGATCCAGCTGCCCTCTCTTTGTGATAGAAAGTGGGGCATCGAAGAGCTTCTCTGTTTCGGTTGTAAGACCCACATGGGTCTTTGTTACGGCTCCAGCCAGAGGATCGAGGAATACATACTTCTTATATCTGCAAGTAGAATAGGATAGGAAGCAGAGAAAGCCTCATCAATCTGTTGCTGAACACACATAAGGAACTATAATGGAAAGCCAATTTCTTCTTCCAACTATTGGTTATAACATTTCAAAAAGATTTTTGTTGCATATTTTAGGTTTCAAAAATCTCACATTCTTGCTTGTTACTTTCTATTACTTAAAAAAACCCTAAATTTTAGTCATGATAAACATTTGTCATAAAACATGAAGAAAATTCCTGCAAAATGCCTTCAAAAATGCTTCTAAAATAAGTTCTTAAAAAGAAACTAGAAAATGTTAAACAGGTAGGGAAGAGAGAGAAAGAGAGAGGGAAAGAAGTCTCTAAGTTTCAACATCCTCTGGAGACTTTACAGGGAGTGAAATGGTGGCAGAGACCTCAACTGCCCAAATCTCCCTCTCCTTGCTAAATATCAACAACAGCAACAACAACTTTATTCTTATATCCCGCCACCATCTCCCCGAAGGGACTCGGGACGGCTTACATGGGGACCAAGCCTAGCATAAACAAGGAATCCAAAGTTACATAATAAAAAACATAAAAATAAATATAATTAAAACAATTAAAAGCAGAAAAGTAAAACATCATAAAACATATCAATCAACATCAACCAACAGTAACTGGAAAAAGTGGACATGTTCAGATTTGAGATTGTAAGGCTTGTGTAAAATGCAGAACAATAGGACCAGGGCTGGAAATAATGTGATTTTCAATGTTGACATCAGCTTCACTGGGGCAACCAACCAAAGAGCTCTCCCCTCAGGAGATTCCCATCATATTCTAGAAATGTAAAGTAGAGGTTCTTTAAGATAAAAGTTTGTTCTTTAAGGTAAAAGTTTCCCCTGACATTGTCGTGTCTGACTCTGTGGGGTGGTGGTCTTCTCCATTTCTAAGCCTAAGAGCCGGTTTTGTCCATAGACACCTCCAAGGTCATGTGGCCGGCATGACTGCATGGCACACCATTATCTTCCCACAGGAGCGGTACCTATTTATCTACTCACATTTACATGTTTTTGAACTGCTAGGTTGGCTGAAGTTGGGGCTAACAGCAGGGGTTCACCCTGCTACCTGGATTCGAACTGCTAGGTTGGCAGAAGCTGGGCCTAACAGCAGGAGTTCACCCTGCTCCCTGGATTCGAACTGCCAACCTTTGGGCAGCACCTTCAACAGTTCAACGGTTTAACCCGCTGTGCTACCAGGGGTTCTTTTGGCAAGCTCCAATGGATCACCTTTAGATCAGACACAGCTCGGTCGCACTGTTCAGAGTGAGTATGGTCTGAAAGCTGCACATTCCAGAAACAAGGAAGCTGGTACACAAGAAATGGGTTTTGTTTGATAACTGCATTGAAGATATCCTGGTCAGCCAATGAGGTGGAGAGCATACTCATTAGCTTCCTTTAAGCTATGAGACTCTACATCTGCACAATTTATCCAAAAGCAGTGGGTTGCTGTAGGTTTTTCGGGCTGTATGGCCATGTTCTAGAAGTATTCTCTCCTAAAATTTCGCCTACATCTATAGCAGGCATCCTCAGAGGTAGTGAGGATGCCTGCCACAGATGGTGAAACATCAGGAGAGAATACTTCTAGAACATGGCCATACAGCCCGAAAAAACTACAACAACCCAGTGATTCCGGCCATGAAAGCCTTCGACAACACATTATCCAAAAGCAGCAGTATGAACCCTGTGTTATAACCTCTCCCAAGAGCTGGCCAGGGTCGATGATTCTTCTAAAGGTTTCCCAGATACCAATCACTCTGGTTTTCGACCAAACCAAGGACTTGCTGGCCAATGAAATTCTGCTGACTTGCCCTGTCCTTTCTGCACAGTGAGAGAGCCTCAAGGCACTGTCAACATACTTGTATGGCAGATTAAGAGCTGGTCAAGGGCTCTCTCACCCAATTTACTCCAGAAAATAGGATGTGAGACGAGAGAGAAGTAAAAGTCAGATTTAGGATTCTTGTAGAATGCCACTTTTATTAATTATACTGGATATTTTACTGCTGTACAAATACTCTGTAAGCCACCTTGAGAAGACTTTGTCTCAAAGGGCAGCATAAAAATAAAATTTGTAAAATAAAACCCTGAAGATACAGAGTCAGCAGTGGTGCAAAGTCAGAGGAAGAACATCTGAATTTTATCTATGTCTATTTTTTTCTTCTTACAGCATTTATTTCTGTCCATGTATTTTTGGCTGAATTACTATTTCTATTGTACTGGTGAAAAACAAAGGTTTGGATATTGCTGCTTGCTCAAAGAGATGTGCATCTGGGAAGCCTCTTTCACCTTATTTAATTATAAACCCTTTGATATCAGCTTGAACTGCCTTGACTTCATCCATGGAATGTAATTTGTAGTTTTGTGGCGTCTATAATTTTATGTAATCTGCAAAGGAGCACTGCAGCCTCACCAAAATGCAAATCAGATGGCAGTTAAAGCAGAATCAAAGTGCTACAAGTGTATAATGTGAAGGGAACCAGAGACCGAAAGTCTGGTTTTCATGGAATACCTTGTAAAATCACACTGCTGACAGGCCTGATAGCAAGGGTATTTTTTCTTTCAAGTACCAAAAAAGCCATGTGAAATTGAGCACTGGAGGTTGTGGACCCTAAAAATGATGTTTTTAAGCTGTGCTTTGAAGATATTGTAGGTTCACAGAAAAAGGACAGGAACAAGCACAAATCTTTCAGCCTGATAGAACTGTCCCTCTTGAACACAGCTCATCTGTCTCTCCATTTAAAAAAACAAAAACAAAAAAACCACACCGAAATGGTATAACTTCACATTCAGTGCTACTTGAATTGTTGCCTAGAGCATGGCTGGCATACACAATACGCATGTCAAACTGAAGAGTTTGGAGAAGAGGGAGAAAAATCCCACACACTGTACGATTAGCCAGAAAACTGGGAGTCTACGTGGCTAGCAACTCAAAAGCTTTCCCACTCAGAAAGAGAGGGATTTTCTGGCATGCCGAGCCAGATGAGGTCACTTGAAAAATAAAATGCAAGTATTTCAAGATCCTTCAAAACCGACAGAGCAGCCCTTTTCAAGCAAAACTTACAGGTTCTCTGTGGTGTTGAAGAGCAGAAGGGAACTAAGAGAGCTAATATTCCTTGGGAGGCTGCCAAGGCCCTCCTCGGCATCATCTTCCTGATGGACTTTTGTAGTGACACAGACGGGAAAATATTCTGGCTTCTCCTACAAAACACAAGCAATGCAGCAGTCAGTACTCCACTAGGACCAACACTTGCGATGAACGGGTTCCTTGGTCATCTTTCAGGAAATGGAAGACTTTCTAAAGCAATCTTTAAATCTCACTTGTACAGCAATGCTTGCCTCCATATTAGCTAGAGAAAGTCAAGAACGCTGCACATCAGGAATGCCAGAATACTATAGAGCCCCCTCCACAACTTTGCTCTGGATTGGTTGGAACCGTGTTATTCCTTCTCGAGAGACTCCAAGGCTCCCTTAGAGTTTTCTAGCCCTGTGGGGATCCCAGTTGTGTCATGGGGAAAGTGGATGTTTAGGCTCCACTGCAACATGCCTTCATTTCCATTTTCCTCTAAGGTAGTAGTTCTCAACCTGTGAGTCCCCAGATGTTTTGGCCTCCAACGCCCAGAAATCGTAACAACTGAAATTCTGGGAGTTGTAGGCCCAAACACTTGGAGACCCACAGGTTGAGAACCACTGCTCTAAGAGCAGCAGTGGTCAATCTGGCTCTCTAGCTCAGTGATTCTCAACCTGTGGGTCTCCAGATGTTTTGGCTTTCAACTCCCAGAAATCCTAACAGCTGGTATACTGGCTGGGATTTCTGGGAGTTGTAGGCCAAAACACCTGGGGACCCACAGGTTCCGAACCACTGCTCTAGCTCTTGCTTGACTTCAATTCCCATGAGCTCTAGCAAGTATAGGGAGACTTAATCAAAAAATATTTAAATGGTTATATGCATAGTTCCATTAGAGATTAACATTTTGCCTACAATTTTCCTGCTCCCTTCTGATCAACCTAAAGCTATCTGACTACACTCCAAGGCTCACTTTTTACAACACAGCCTACTAAAGAACTGTTTGCATTAAGCTGGTTCTCCTGCCCTGGCCTACATCTGAACAGACTGTCTAACTCAGGTGTGGGCAAACTTCGGCCCTACAGATATTTTGCACTTCAACTCTCACAATTCCTAACAACCTACCAGCTATTAGGAATTGTGGCAGTCAAAAATACCTGGAGGGCCGAAGTTTGCCCATGCCTGGTCTAACTGATCTCAACTGTAGGAAGACAACCCTGGGGACAATCTCCTACATCTTCAGAGGATCTCAAGAAGCAGGGCTTGCAAAGATTCTCTATCTGAAATCTGGGATAATCCCTACAATTAGTTACTACTGAGCTAGGCAAATTAATGACATAGTAAAATGAAATCACTTATTCATAATCCACATTTTGACTATGCAGGCAACCTGTGGTTTCTGAGATTGAACCATGAAGCTTGTTTTATCAATCTCTCTGTGAAAACCATTGGTGGACTCTTTCGACAGCCAGCAGCGGGAAGCCAAGAGGAGCAGGTGGCAAGACCTCTACTTTGGCTGGGTTAATATGTTCTCCACACACCCTGCAGCTCAACTCTCCATGAATTCTGAGGCCAGACTGAAATATTCATGCCACTTTGACTGTGACAGGCCTGGATTCCACTGAACTGCAGGAAAGTTTTAACACACTGAATTATTCAAAGACAGCTTTATTTTTGGGTTCTCTATAAAGGAAAGAAAGTGGGAGCCCAGAGGCATTTAGCTGATCTCTTATTTGGAAATATTTTTCTATGCATTTCAGGCCCCAGAAGTAGATGTCATGCACTGGATTTTCTTTGAAGATGGGGCATTTTCCTGACAGTGACATTTCCCCTTAAACTAAAAATATATTTTCTAAAATTATTGCTGAGTTGTATAGTGTGGTATAATTCTGCATTTGTGTTTGGTGCCCAGAAGAGCAATTTAAAATCAGAAGAATCATGAAGCTGGAAGGAACCACAAAGGCCATCTAATTCAACAACCTGCCATATATAAATATGCAACTTGAACATACATATAAGATGCCTCAAGACCTACAAAGAAGGAGAGCCAATTACATTCTGAAACAATCCATTCCACTTCCGAAGACCTCTTCTTCTCTTTTGCTTCCCTAAATTCTCCATTAGACTATGTCCATCTCCAATAGGTCCTTCACCACCATCTCCATGCGAAAATCCAAAATCAAGAGGAGTCCTACTTTGCTTGAGGAATTTCACCAGGTATCTCACTTACCTGCAAGGATTTCTCATCCAACGTTCGATGCTTGCTCAGAATCTTGCGCCTTTGCCGTTTCTGGGCATCTGGACCCCTGGCACCAGCAAAAATGGAGGAGTATTCTTGCAGCCGATCAGGAGCAGGGTATTTTGAACTGGAAAATACCTTGGGATAGACATGCAAAAAGGGATGTATATATTTAATACTTTTCTACAATATCCAATAGCCATAGCTCTCGGGGCAGTTTCCAAAACAAATATCCTGGATGGAAGGATTCTACATCCAAACCAATGGAAGATTTTCCTTCAGTACACACAATGGGAATCCTCTTCACAATATTTTGATCTGTTGCGTTCCCTCTGCCTTGCACTTGCTGTTCATATATTTTAAAAATCATTCCTGCAATTTAGTCTGACCATCAGTCCTGGGGTAAGGGATGTACTGCAGTGCATAAGAACAGCATCCCAATACCTTGATTGCTTTCTTGCTGCCTTTGATCTTCTCAATTTTGGCTTGAGTAAGACTGACTCTGTCATTGATTGCCCGTAGCTGTTTCTGCCTGGTCTCCACTTGTTGGGAAATCCTAAGAAAGAAAGTATATTTTTAGTTAACGTACAATCATATTTATGCAGTAAAAAAACACATCCAGTGAAATACACATTAAATAGAAGAAAAACGTGTCAATTACTAAAAGCACCTTTAACAAGATCTTGCAACACAACTGCCTAACAAAGCTGCGATCTGTACAGTTCCAACAACTCTGACATAATACTGGCAATGAATAAATGATGCAAGATGGAGAGGAAAAGGAAGAATAATCTAATTTCCTATAGAGAAGTTGTTACGCAAAGTGCATTTTTCCAGCAATGTCTGTCCTTGGGAATGTTTGAAAATTTCAGCTGCAGCCAGATTCCTAATAGGGGCTGTTTATAGGGAACATGTCACTCTCTTGTTACTACAGCTTCACTGGTACCATTCTGTTTCAAAACACAATTTAGAGTACTGGTTATGGCCTATCACATTATGTAAAACTTTTATCCACTCTATGTGTAAGACAGTGTCTTCCTATATGAAGCTGCCTATGTTCTGAGATCTTTGCAAGAGGCATCTCTCTCAATCCACTTTCATGGTCATGTTTGGTATAAAGGTGGGAGATGGCCTGTTCTGTGGCTGCTCCTATACTCCTTTCTTAGGGAGGCTCTATTTGTTCCCTCCTTGCTTTGCTTTCAAGTCAAGACTATTCTATTCCGGTAAGTGTTTAGTATTTATATTTATCATATCAGAAGCAAACTGAGGGTACAGCTGTAAAGATTTTTTTTTAAAAAAACAAAACCAAAGTTTTAAAAACTTTGACAAGTAGCTGGCCACTTGGAGTGCCTCTGGTGTTGCTGTAAGAAGGTCCTCCATTGTGCATGTAGCAGGGCTCAGACTGCATTGTAACAGGTGGACTGTGGTTTGCTCTTCTCTGCACTCACATGGTGTGGACTCCACTTTGTGGCCCCATTTCTTGGTTGGCTCTGCATCTCGTGGTGCCAGAGCACACAGTCTGTTCAGTGCCTTCCAAGTCACCCAGTCTTCTGTATGCCCAGGAGGGAGTTTCTCATCCAGTATCAGTCACTGATTGAGGTTCCGTGTTTTAGCCTGCCACTTTTGGACTCTCACTTGCTGAGGTGTTCCTGCGAGTATTTCTGTGGATCTTAGAAAACTATTTCTTGATTTAAGGTGTTGGCGTGCCAGCTGATATCCAAACGGGATGGGCCAAAGATGTCACTGCCTTGGTCCTTTCATTATTGGCTGCTACTTGGCTGGTATTCAAGAAGTGATTCTTGTAGGTCATAGCGCAGTCCAGGGTAACTCCCAGGTATTTGGGTGTTCAGCAATGCACCATTGGGGTTCCTTCCCAGATAATCCTCAGAGTTCGGAATGCTTGTCTGTTCTTAAAATGAAAAACACACATCTGTGTTTTAGATGGATTAGGAATCAACTGGTTTTTCCTGTAATAGGCAGTAAGACCACCTAAAGCTTCAGAGAGCTTCTGTTCAACCATTTCAAAGCTCCCTGTTTGGGCAGTGATGGCCCAATCATTAGCATAGATAAAACTCTCTGTCCCTTCTGGCAATGGCTGATCATTTGTGTAAATGTTAAACATTGATGGAGCGAGCACACTCCCCTGAGGCAGGCCATTTTTTATTTTCGTCATCTGCTTTTGGTAACTGGTTGTTTTACATTTTAAAGGCTTTTTGTTTCATGATCTTTCTTCTATTTTTCTATTTCTATTTTTTTATTCTAAGTTTTTAAATGTTCAAAATGACTTGACTTCTATGGACAGTTTAGTACTAGTTTCATCTCTCTTTTTTGTATGCTTTTAGCTATATGTGGTTCTACTTGTAAACAACCAGACGTTCCAGTTTGGGAGGAAAGGCAAGTTAAAAATTAAGAACAGCCTGACTCAGTGGGCAACTTCAAGATACAAGGGGCTAATTTATCTGTCCCTGGGACTCTTTGGGACTGCACAGCCTGCTTTTTAAAAAAAACAACCCCAAAATATAACTAAATGTGTCCAGATGTCATCTTCTAGATTTTTTTTAAGGTGAAACAGTGTAATAGGACCATACCACTTATTTAAAAGGTTGATTGCTGGAGGCTTTTACCTTTTTTGATTGGTTCAAAAAGTGCATTTCAGGGAAAACAGAGTTGAGGCCACACACACACAACCCCCCCCCCCCCCCCCCCCCCCAGCTTTATGACTTGTGAGTGGCCTTAGGGCCCCCAGTTTGCTCACCCTGCTCTAATAAGATCACTGGATAATCCCCCTTGACTTTCAAACAGCTTCAAGGTTTGGCTCTTACTGGCGGTCATTCCTCTACAACCTCATATTTGAGACAGTTGGGCATTGGAAGGGCTTAAGGAACAGAAGGTACAAAGCAAAAGAGATTTCATTTGGATACGAAAAGAAAAGGAGAGCTCTGGAGGTGAAGAGCCAAGGAAATGAGGTCAGCAGGAAAGAATTTGGTCAGCTCTTTCTATCAGAGTTTTGACTCTGTTCTAAGAGTCCATGCAAGTGCTGTTTGGGCTGAAGAACCATCGCCATTTTAATATATTCTTCCCCTCCATTTAATTCTTTTGAGCTTTGCATTCAAATCTTAGCCCAAGGCGCATGGAAGTGCTCAAACGGCATACATGATCCTTAGGTGAGTAATCCAATTGTTGCTGACCAAGGGGGCGAGAAAAGTGATAGTGACTTTGATCTTACTAATCTAGCGATTTCACAAATGAATCTGAAACCGTGTTAGACATGTTCATGCATATTACTGGCACACACACCAAGGAGCCTTGCTTCCACATCATCTATTCCTTCCTCTTCTCTATTAATTTTACGGTGGAAAAAAATTAATGAAGAAATTGGGAGTCCAAACTGAGAAAAACCATCTTAGATCAAAACAGAAAGTCTTACAGCTATATATAAATAAATAAAAAGGCCAGGGAATTTACATCCACTTGTGGTGGACCTGATGAGACTGTGAAGAAGATCATCTGACTCCATCAAGTGCTCCTTAGATGAACTTACCAGCATCCCTTCCTTTTTTAGATCCTTTTTTCACAGAGACACAGATGTCCCAACAAGGAAAGTGTACTTTTAGACCAGTGGTTCTCAAACTTCCTAATGCTGCGACCCCTTAATACAGTTCCTTATATTGTGGTGACCCCCATCATAAAATTATTTTAGTTGCTATTTCATAACTGTATTTTTGCTACTGTTATGAATCGTCATGTAAATATCTGATATGCAGGATGTATTTTCATTCACTGGACCAAATTTGGCACAAATGCCCGATACGCCCAAATCTGAATACTGGTGGGGTTTGGGGGGGGGGGGGGCTGATTTTGTCATTTGGGAGTTGTAGTTGCTGGGATTTATAGTTAATCTACAATCAAAGAGCATTCTGAACTCCAACAATGATAGAATTGAACCAAACTTGGCACAGAGAACTCCCATAACCAACAGAAAATACTGGAAGGATTTGGTGGGCATTGTTCTTGAGTTTTGGAATTGTAGTTCACCTACATGCAGACAGCACTACAGACTCAAGTAATGATGGATCTGGACCAAACTTGACATGAATACTCAATATGCCCAAATGTGAACACTGGTGGAGCTAGGGGGAAAATAGACCTTGACATTTGGGAGTTGTAGTTGCTGGGATTTATAGTTCACCCACAATCAAAGAGCATTCTGAATCCTACCATTGATAGAATTGGGCCAAACTTCCCACAGAGAACCCCCCCATGACCAACAGAAAATACTGTGTTTTCTGATGGTCTTTGGTGACCCCTCTGCCACCTCCTCAGGGTGTCACCCCCTCCCCCCCCCCAGGGGTCCCAACTCCCAGGTTGAGAAATGCTGTTTTAGACTGACTGGAAAAGATACCCCATGGGCTTCTGGCCCATGGATCTCTTAAGCAGATCTTGGGAAACATTACTTTTGTGATCCACAAGTGATGTGCTTTAAAAAGCCTTGAACTTCAGAGACTGAACCTTGGACCTTGTCCATGCAATCTGCCAATGAACTGTGAGGCCATCCTCTCTATTTATTTCAATCTCTTTGGTGCCCCACTGTCTGTGGAAGTGTTGTCAGCACACCAAATCCAGCTCAGGTTACTACCATGCGTCCTGCTGATAGCAGTGGGATTAAACTGCAATTATGGGTTAAATGCACACGTCGCTTACAGCTGCTAATTTACCACACTGCGAATCCCATCACTTAGGAAAGTGGTCTTCAGTATCACTTCTCTCTTCCCACCCACCACCCTGCTTGCTTACCCGTTTTGATCAGGTGCTTAAGTATCCTAAGATTTTTCTCACTAAGATGCAGGCCAACGAAGTCAACCTCTTGACCAAGCAAAAATAGACATGCCATGATATATTAATGCATGGAAAATGTTCATCTGTCTTCACTGCAGGTTACATCTGGACTGGGGCCAGTAATGAATGCCGTTTCCCCCCCAAAGGCTTTCCATCTGCCTTTCATGCACTTCTTTCCCTCCTCCTTCTCCTGTGTGTATAACGTCAGGGTTTCCTTGAATTAATGAACCAGAAGGCACATCACTTCTCTCCTCTTAGCACAGCACAGCCTTAATATCCAGAAAAAAATCTAACATTCCTTTAGATTGCCTTCTAAAATAGAGACTCATTCAGTCAGAGGCTTATCAGGGTGGGACTGATCCATGCAGAAAATAAACTAATTTTTCTTTCCCTTTCCCCAATTTGCTTAGGCACTGGAAGATAAATGCACCCGAGGCTGAAGGACAGAGATACTGTGTTAAGGAGGTGTGTGATATTAATCTCAGGCAGGTCAGCTCTCTGTTGCAGAATGGTAAACAGCAGGTAGCATACTTAGTATGCAAGCTGCCTCACTTTACCATCACTCACATCTCTCATTTTCAGCATTTTTTCTGGAGTGTGCATAAACAAAATACTTTGGCAATTCAAGGAACAACTTACATGAAAAATGATTTTTAGTACATAACTGCAGAGTGCTGCCTTCCCTGATATAGGTGCTTCCCAATGTTTTAGGGCCATCAG